CCTAGAAAGGGCAACGTGTCCCGGGGCCTCTTACAACACCCGGCACGCAGGAGCCCCTCAGTGAATAGCTGCAGGATGTGATTTGGGACAAGAAGAGGTCCCCAAACAGGAAACCTGGAGTTACATTGTGCAGAGAGGAAAGCCCTTCTCTCCCTGCGCTGAGTATTTTCCATGTGGTTAACTTGTAACTGTATTTCTCACAGTCCTTAGCAGTGGGTACAAGTGTTATCCCAATTTTACAGAGGAGAAAACAGAAGCCCAGGGAGGCTAGAATTTGCCTATGGTCACACAGCTTGGATGTAGTGGAGCCACAGCGGGTGCCTGAAAAAAAAGTGGGCTGGGGGGGAGTCCGGAGGCAGAAGCAGAGGCTCTCCTCCGCATTTGGGAGGGCTCACTGGATAACTGAATTTTTTTCCCACTTATCTTGGGGGTAGTTTTGCGGAAGCCTGGGCAGAAGTTCTGGACTGCGTGAGGGTGCCAAGGACTGGGAACACCACGGTGAGGGAAGCGGTGCCCGGTTGGTGATGACAGAGGGGTTACCGAGACGGCCAGTTGGAGACTGGCCTCCCCTTCCCCCAGGCCCTGCGCACCCCGCATCCCTCTCCCTTGCTGTGAGGTTTCCGCGTTTGTCACCCGTTCCTCGGCGGCTCTCTGGACCTTTCCTCGGAAAGGTTTGTCCCGTTGGTTATCAGGAATCCACAAACCTGGAGCCCGACTCCGCGCGCTCACACGCGGGCACGGGAGATCGCCCCGCACACCTCCCGTCCCCGGCCCTCGGGGTACCCCAGTGCCCTGGTACCGGCAAGCGGGGGCACCCCTGCAGTCGCCACGCAAGGAACACGCAGGAGGCACAAGACGGGATGGAGGCGCAGTGCGGGGACGGAGGTCCACCCGCCCGGATGCGGGGAGATCCGCGGGAGGGGACCCCGCCCGGCCCGGTGAGCCCCCGTTGGGAGCAGAGTGTGCGGCGCTGGTTCGCAACAGGCGCCCACGGCCAGGAGAGAGGCAGAGGGGCAGTGCCAGCCGTCGCCGCGCCCCGCTCCTCTGGCGCACATCTGGCAGGCGCCCCAGCGCCCCGGCAGCGGCCAGTTTTCCCTCCTCCGGGGCCGGTGCTGCCGCGTGACCCCTTTCCCGCCGAGGAAGCCTCCACCCGCACACCTGGGGCGCTCGGGCCGCCCTCACCTGGCGAACAGGACGGTGCCGTGCTCCAGAGGGCTGCGGCTCACAGCCCGCCAGCTCTGCCGGATCAGCTCGGGCTCCGGGCGCTCCATGCTGTCCCGGGGACGTGAGGCGCGGGACTGGGACCCTCGGGGCGCGGGCGCTGTCACCGCACGTGCCGAGCCATCTCCTCCGCGACGCGGACCCCTCCGCCCCCTCTATGACCCCCGTGCCTCAGCCCGGTGGGGGCCGTTAGTCGCTTCTTCCCTGGCGCGGGAGAGAGGAGGCGTGCAGCCGACCGTAAGCGGAGGCGCCCCAGCTGTGCTTCCGGGGACCCCGCTCGGCCGCTGCGCCCTGCGCCCGGCAGTCGCGAGAGCCGCCCCGCCCCGCCCAGCGCCGCCCGGGCTGGGCGCTTTAAAGCCACTGCGGCCCCCGCCCTCTCCAGACCATTGAGCGCGTGCTCCCTCCTCCAGCGACGACCTGGTGGCCCGGGAAAGGCCTGGCCTGCAGAGCGTAACTGACATCGCCGAGGCTCTCAGGGCCTCAGTTTCTCCTCCGGAGCCCCGAGGCCACTGTGTTGAATTTGGTGGCCCCAGGTAGGCGCTGCATTCGCCCTGTCTTCACAGGCCCCTCCACTCCAGCATTGCCGGAGGCATTTGAGTTTGCCACCTACCTGGCCCGCAGTCTCCTTCCTTCCGCAGGTGGGGCCTGGGGAGGCAGCCTGAGGCGTCGAGCTCTGGGTCTGACTAGGGCACCAGCACACGTTGGGGACCACCAGGGCTTTCAGCCCTAGGGACAGGGCCAAGATCACAGCCATTCCCAGCCAGGCCTGGGTTTTTTTGAGACTCCATCTTTAGAAATCCGTGAACTCCAGTTCTAATCCCAGCTCTGCTTGGCCAGGATGGAAACTTATCCCAGCTCTGCTTTGCCAGGGTGGAATCTTGAGGGGGTTCAGCCCTAAGATTCTACCATTCCATGATTTAATTTTTATTTGTATTTTTCACTTCTCCCCTCCTGGGGCCCTCCCCACTTCCATGATTTTTAATCTTTTTTTTTTTTTTTTTTTTTTTTTTTTTTTTTTTTTTTTTAATGGACGTACTGTTTAATTTTTTCGATAGAAGTTCAGATGATAGAATCCACGCTTCCCACTCAGGGTGTGCAGTTGGCCACCTATCAATTAGAACTAAACTTTTCACTTTGAAGCAGAAAGTTCCTCAGTCTCCGCCCAGTGCCGGTGGCCCAGGTGTGGGAGAGCGAGCCCGTTTGGCCTCCCTTTGTCTCTCATTATTCCCTCGGGAGCCTCCAAGCCCGTCTCCTCTATCAACCCACACCTCTCTGGGCCTGTTTCCTCAGTTGTGCAGCAAGAGGGTTGGGTGGCGAAGTCTCTGGGGCCTTCTAGTCCACCTCCTTTTGTTCCATGGGTACAAGGTGCGTGTGTTCTTGAGCCCCTGGTTATGAACAGCTGTGGCTCCATGCCCAGCCCTGTGCTAGACACGGAGTGGTGAGTCCTGACCTTTCAAATTTCTCCTTCTGGCCCTGAATCAGAACTGAGTGCCTCAGAACTCTTCTTTCCTGCACCCAGCCATGTCCCAGGAAACCACCGAGTGGTTCTCTCTCTTCCAAGGACTCAGGAGTTTGTGATGCCTCCTATTCTATTCCCCATTTCCTCACACATCTCTGCGCTGGGGCAGGAGAGCAAGGCTCTGGGGCAGCCTGGAAAAGCTGGGATCGTAGGGTCCAAGAGGTCCCCAGGCAAGAGCACAAAGGGAGGGGTGCTGCAGGGAGAAGACGTGACTAAACTTCCAGCTTGGGGTCTCATGGATCTGCAGCCAGGTTCAGCAGGTCACAGGGCAAGGCCACATGTCACTGGTGACCTTCACTCTTCAGTGCCCAGATGCTCTGTGCAGGCCACCTGGCTGGTCTAAGGTACCCCACTCTACTCCGCTCGTGCTCCTTGCCAGCAGTCTACACTTAGGACCCATCTTGCTTCCCCTCTCCTCTGGCCAGGGTCTGGAGTCTGATGAGGCAGGGGGAGTTAATGGCCATAGCTAGTTAAGTGTGGTCAGCACTCAAACCATGGCTTCACTCTTAAGTCTTCCCAGAGCCAGGAGACACACGCTAAGATAAGCCAAGCTAAGTGCACTCTATCCCTGCTCCCTTCAAGAAAGGCCCGAGAATCTGGATGGGCCTAAGCGACCAGAGTGATATATTCCCACCAGTAGACCAAGGGTCTGAGCCCACATTTGAGGGGCTCAGTAAAAGTCACGGGAGCTCTCCTCCTTGTGGGTCATCCAACCAGGAGGCAAGAACCTCGAAGAGAGTTCCAGTACTGCCGCAGAGCCAGTGCTGTCACTAAGGTCTATGTATTCATCATAATACAGAGCTGGCATTTATGTCTAGACACTGTTCGGGGCATGTTACTTCATTTCCTCTTTTCATCCGCACACTAACTCTGCGAAGTAGGTGCTATTTATCATACCCTTGTTTTACAGCTGAGGTAACACAGTCAGAGGTTAAGCAACTAGCCCGAATTCACATAGTTAATAAGCGGTGGGGCCAAGATTTGACCTCAGGTCTCTCTGGCCCATCCTATAGGCCTCCATGCCCCCCCTTGCTTTAATGGGCTATGGCCAAGAGCCCCACTCATAGTTCAGATCAAGCCATGGTCACTGGGTCTGGGTCAGCGGTGTGCTGGAGCCAGCTTTTATATGCCTCTCAAGAACCAACTGTATGCATCTCTTTCCAGCTTCTTATTCAGTGACATCAAGTTGGTAGCTTAAAAAAAGAACATAGTAGGAATAGTTACACCATGGAAATTGGCAAATGCTATACATACTGGTTTTTCCTCCCAGAGCACCTGTGCTTAAACATCTACCAGCATACACTGATCTGGGTGCACCTGGGGGAGCCCAGAAAACTATGCCCTAGATGAGCAGCTGCTGATGCATTAAGCAGCAGGTTCACAGGAACGTGCTGCGTCAGGGACCTTGGGCTGAGTGCCCAGGCCTTCTCCCCGGGGTATCCAGGATGGACAAGCTGTTCTGGGAAGGTGCTTCTAGTCCCAGGACCAGGCTAGAGAGTCATGGCTCTACTATTAACTAATCATGGGAACTTAAAGCAAGTAATTTAATCTCTCATGACTTCACTGGGCCTTTATGAGGATTAAATGTCGGAGGTGTGTTGAGACTTTGTAAACTAAGCTGTACCACTCAAGGAAGAGTGATCTGGCTTCTTCCTAACCTGCCTGTCGTAGGCACGTTCCATCTCCCGAAGATCCACATGCCCCACTCTCCCCACCAGCCCCACCAGAGGGTGGCTAGGCAGCCCAGAAGACCTCCAGTTCCACAGCACAGTGCTAACTCCCCTCCCCCTACCTCTGTCCAACACTCAGGTCAGCTCCTGCTGCCTTCAGATCCTAGTATCACTCCCGCTAACAGGAGACCCCTGTTAAGATGGAGACCTGTTCCGCAGAATGGCTAGTTGCTACAGTGCTGGGGCACTGGGCTGTCTGGGAAGGGGACAACTTCTTCTTGCACACCTTTCTTTGCCACGTGAGCAGGTTAAAAGAGGACAATCAGAGGTCCAGCTTCCTACTTATTTTGGATCAGTTTAAATGTATCAAAATGGCGACCACATTACTCAAGTAACTGTATCCATGGAGAGGCCCAAATGCCACCAGGAGTAATCAGGCTCACCTGCCCAGCCCAGGGCCTCTGCAGGAATTAGCCCAGCCTCGGACATGACACCAGGGGATGGTTCCTGCACTCACGTTCTTCTCAGGGAGGCTTTTCTGGGAGCCAGAGGGCAAGTCAGATTCAATTAAGTTCAAGGACAACATGGCATTCAAAACAAGTGCTATTTATTATAAAAGTCAGTGGCTTCTGATTAGAAGCCTTTTTTTTTTTTTTTTTTTTTTTTAGCCAAATGAGACTCAAGAAGCTGGCTGGAGGTTGAACTGGTCGACAAATGTCTCCTTCCTCCACCAGCAGTTTGTGGGACACATTTCTGCCGAGCGCTAAGGCTGACGCCCATATTCACAGAAGCCCCCTGACAGCCTTTCTCCAGCATCTTCCAGAAAACAGAACCTGAGTACTCCAAGCTGCATCAACCCATGTAGACTTGCACCCAGAGAGGTATCTGCCAGTCTGGGCATGGAGGAAGAGAAAATGGGCAGAGAATTCTCCTTGGATCCTTAGAAGGCAGCAGGAGCTGGGGAAGCCTTCAGCCCCCGTGCAGCCTAATTGGGAGGGAGGTTTGGGTAGAGGCTGGCTGGGCATCTCCTTCCTCACCCTCATTCGGGGTGGCTGCCCCTCTGGCCCCTTCAGAGCTCCTCCCTTCCAAGTTCTTACTGGGAAATAAGGCACAAAGGAAAGTCAGCCACCTCCTGGATGTCACTGTGGGCCGCCTGCTTTGCTAAGAGCCAACCACAGATTCCGGCATTCTACCTGCAGGAGAGCCCGGCCGGCTCAGAAGAAATTCTGCCTGTGGGGAGAAGAGGAAGAGAAGGGAGGGAAGGAGAAGAAACGTGGCAGGGTGGAAGCCGGGAGCAGAGCTTCTCCATCCCTCCTCTCCTGCCCTGCCAGAAATGCAATTAAGCAAGCAGCCCAGATGAAGCCACACAGACAGCGCTTCCTGCTGGGGGAAGTCAAAAGGGCTGTAACCGTGGGAGAGGGAGGTCATCAGGTCCCAGATCTAATTAACCAACCTGCCTTGCTTTTGATGTTGCTGCATTTCCTCTATTAACATTAATGATGGTTGGTTTGAATGTCTAAGCATGGCCAGAAGCTTCCCTCCCCACCACCCAGTAGGCAGCACAGCCTGTCCCTGGGACCAATATCCAGTCTCCGTGGCAACCGCCTCCCGAAGATGCTTTAAAGAGATCTGACCGTGTCAGAGTTGTTGGGAGCTAAGGAGGAGGGAAAACGGAGTGTGGCAGAGATTCATCATTAAGTCTGGAAGCCTCAGAGCCCTCTGAGACAAAAGAAGTATTTTGTCATGCCCCAGGAAGGGGGAGGCAGGCTGAGGGCTGACCTTGGGTGGTTTGGTTCTACCAGTGGGTTTTCTTCATCCCTTTTGGGGAGGAAGTGGAAGGAGCAGCTCTGAGCTTCTTGTTCGAGCTTCAGAGTGGTAGGCATAGGAAACAGGCACGCATTTCTAAGTGCTATGGGTCTTCACAGCTGAAGCAGTGACAGAGAGAAAGCGAGACACCCACAGAGTGAGGCAGGGGTGAGCAGGGGAGGATGGCAGAAGTGCCACTGGGAAAGCTCAGCAGGTGACAGGAACTTTAGTCTGGAGAGGGCAGAGTCCCCACACCCCAGCACCATACAGATGCCCTGCCCTGCCTCTCATCTGTCTTGGCGCTAAGCAAGTTTCCCACAGGCTCTCCCAGCAGCCAAGAGAATGCATCTGCCTCGCCCTCCAGGCCGCGGCCCAGGATAGGGCACCGTTCCTCCCGAGTCTCACAGTGTGACAATCCCAAAAAACAAGGAACCAAGGGCTAAGGCAGGTGGATGCCCCGTAGGCCGGTGCTGTGTGTCGCAGGCAGGAAGTTCAGCTACCTCCAGCCACTCAGGGATACGGCGGGAGCCAGGCCCTCCAGCTCACCTTCCTCCACACTGGATTCTTTTGTTTGTGGGAGGGAGGGAAGCACAGCTTTGGCAGTCCCATCTGCTCCACCTTTGGTGACATCCCAAGGTGAGGTCAGTGCTCTCTGCCCTCAAGGCCCTCTTAGAGGTCTGAGAATTTTTGATGGATCTTACAAACCGAAACCCAAGAAAGCCAATGTGAAAAAAATGCCAGAAAATATGACTATAGCCTGGACTATTTTAGAGTTTATGACAGTCAGCTGTCCACAGTCACACGGTCTGTGTTCCAAAGGGATATGGACAATGTGCCCTCACATACACACGAACCCACATCCACCCGCTGGCACCCATCTGCGCACCAGGGGGCGGCCGGTGAGATGCTGTCCTCTGTGGTGCTGTGGATGGAGCTGCGGCTCTCTCCAATGCTGGCTTCAGTTCCAGGGGCACTCCCAGAGCTGGGTCCTGGTGGGCAGCAGAATTCTTCAGGCTCCTTAGGCAGCTTCCTCACAGCTGGAAGGGTCCAGTACTGCGTCCCAGCTCGTTCTCCTGGGAAGTTCCTGGACCCAGGCTGGCATCTTTGCAGTGGCCTCAAAATTCCCATGAGTCTAGCCACCGTAGTCCTGCCATAGGACTTTGGGGGTCCTGGGCCAGGGGACCAACCATCCCGTAAGCCAGAGGGTGGAAGAGGTAGAAGCTGTGCGAGAGAACCAGCGGGAGGCAGTTGACATCCCAGTGCCTTGGCTGAGGGGCTCTGAATTCCACTCCTCCTGCTGGAGCGCCACAGAAATTCCCCATCGCCAAGCCCGGCTCTCTGTCATGGCCTTGTCTGTCTGAGTCCCACTGGGGCACACCGCAGCCTGAGCGCTTAGTAGATGCGGACTGAATGACAATAATGGAAAGCATGCTTCCCAAGACGCCCAGGAGGGCGACCCTTCCAGGGGTCTTGTCATGGGCTATTTGGCCTGGGGTGTTTGTCAACCTGTGAATGTAACCCTCTTAGGCAGGTACGTGCTCACAGGCCATAGGCCCAGCACCAAGGCCAGGGAGTGGGGAAGCAGGGAGCCTTCCAAACAGCTCTCCTTCCAGCCACTCAGTCACACATTCCTCTCCCACCTTCCTCTCCCCACCCCACTGCTGAGAGCTGTTCCAGCAGGGGGCTGTGGTGGCTAAAGAGGGGTCCCCTGACCCATATTCCACCCTTCCCCGCCTCTCCCTCACCCCGAGAGCTGTTCTGGCATGGAGTCACTGTGACTAGAGGAGTACCCTGCCCCATTCCCACCCTCCCCCACCTCTCCCACCCCCTGCGAGCTGTTCTGGCAGGGAGTCACTGTGACTATAAGGGTGCCCTTCCAGGTGTGCTGGGACAGCACGAAAGTTGAACCACCAGCAAAAGGGGAAAAGGCAGCGTTAACCCCCTGCTTCTCCTGCCTGGCTGCACATTAAGATCACTTGGGGGACTCAGGAAACCATGGCCCCACTTGGGCCGGGGTGAATCAGAACCTCCGGGCATGGGCACTGGTGGTGTTGAAAGCACCGCAGGGGATTCTGGAGGGCATCAGGGCTGAGACACCACTGCGCCCACACTGGGAGGGCATGCGCAGTGCAGGGACACTCACCTGTAGGCGGTGCCCAGGAGGAGGCTCAGGATTCCCACCACATGTATGCCCCTGGCCAGGGGCCAAGAGGCCAAGCCCCAGGCACAGAGCCGCAGGAGGGTGTCCCACAGAATGCCTAGGGCAGAGGAGAGGAGAGAAACCTGGAGCCAGCCAGGCGGGGATGACTTCTGGGCTACAGTAGGAGCCACTCCAAGTCAAGGAGCAGAGAGTCACTCCCAGCAGTGCTGCCCCACAGTGGCCTCCCCTGCCACCTGCTGTCTCCCAAGTCCAGGTGGGTGGCACTGACCTGTCAACATGCTTGAGAAGAGCATGGCTGGGAAGTAGTGGTGGAAGTACAGGACCCGGCCCATCAGGAAGAACGGGAAGTAATGGAGCATCCAGCCGAGCAGGACCTGGCCACCTCCTCGCAGCAGGACCTGGGACAACCCTGGGCCCAAGCAGCGCAGCCCGGTCAGAAGACAAGGAGCAGGCAGAGATCCCAGGCTCGGTCCAGCTCTGCCCTTTCCTTGCTGTGTGACCTTGAATAAGTCACATCACCTCACTGGACCAACCCAAACCACTCTACAGAAACTGGAAGAGAGGAGCAGCTGGGGCTCAAGAGCTCTGGTCAGGGCCCAGCCTAGCAAGGCCTGGGCACCAACGGCAGGTGCACCAAACACCAGCAGGAGGCAGCCCAGCCTCTAAGGAAACCCCTCTGCACCTGCAGACAGCTTCTCTCCCTACTTTCAACTCCCACATCTTTGCTGCCACACAGAACTTTGCAGCGGCAGACAGGCACTAAGCTGAGGCCACAGGTGAGGATGGAGTGAGGAGGCTGTACTCTGTTCAGAGAGCTGCAGAGGCAAAAGGGCCTGTGTGAACATCTCAGGTGCTGTGTACCATGGTCTGGCAGCCATAGTTACCAAGAACAGCCCTGGGATGGGAGCCCAATAACCCTGGAGGCTCCTCTCTAGCCCACAAGAGGACAGGGCCATGGAACAAGGAGGTGGCAGAAGAAAAAATGGGCAGCTCTGTGCGAAGCATAGGGCGAAAAGAAGGGCCCTAGAGTCAGACTGCACGGGTTTGAACCTCAGCTCTATCACTTACTAGCTGTATGCCCTGGGGCAGTTTCTTAATCTCATGGTGCCTTGGTTTCCTAATCCATAAAATGGGGGCAGTAACACCCAGCCCTCTAGTGTCCTTGGGAGGAAGTAAAGTTTAAGACAGCACTGGGTACTTGGGGTTGTTAGCTTTCAAAAGCAAAGCTAAGGGAAGGAGTGGGGTGGTAAACTTTGCAAAGGATGGCCCATCAGCAGGCAGCCGGCCCTCCCCAGGGTGCAGGTGCTCTGCCACCGCCAGGTCAGAGGAGGGAGAGCCCGGGGGATCTGACCTGCAACCTCCGCCGGCACCCGTGTCCCTCTCTGCATGGCTATAGCAATGATGCTCCCTGAGAGGAGGTAGAGGGCGATGCTCAATAGATTCAGCCACCAAACCACCTGCGCAGAAACGGGAATGGGCAGATGAGAATGCAGCCACTCTCCACGGGCAAGTGCTCCAGGGCCTAAGCCGGGAACGTTCAGGCACTCACCGGGTTGCCAAGCAGATAGACTCTGAAGTCTGTGTCATTGACCCCTGAGAAGCGTAGGCCCTGTGGAACAGAGATCACCCTGCTGACCCAGGACCCAGCCCATCCCCAGCCACACCCATTAGGGGGAGGAAGATGGTCACCTTTCACAGACAGGGAGCCTGGACATGAGGCTCAGGCTGTGCAAATTCTACATGAGCTCTCTGGGAAGGCAGGGTCAGAATTAAAGCAGAAAACACAGCGGCCTCTAGCCAATCCATCTCAGGTGGGCCCTCGCTCTGCCACCCTGGCACACCGCACCCCCACCTCCACCCATCTCTGAAGTCTCTTACTTGGCTCCATTTCCTGGGAGGAGCCCTAGCCTCAGACTCTACCTGATAGTTGATAGGCCAGTGCCAGGGTTTGGATGTGAACTCATTGTCCTTGGGTTTGAGGCCATTGTTCCCCTGCATGAAGGCAGCAAAGAAAAGCTAGTCAAGACAGAGATCTAGAAGGCTGACAGAAATGTGAGGCCCAGGTTTCTCTGACACAGGGCCAAGTGCTGAGTGGAACCCTCTCTCCTTCCCTTTCCTTACAGGGAAGAATGAGGGTTCATTTGGAGCCACTGTCCGCCTGCCTACAGCAACGGCTTTACTTCTCCCAAAAAGCCTCCATTTCCCACAAGCATGGTCCATTCCAACCCTCTACGCTAGGGAAAAAGAAGGGAAAGAGGAAGGAGGAAACTGTTCCAATGGGCACAAAATGTACACCCATCTGCCATACCCAGGACAAGGTGTCAAGATGTGGGAGAGAGGGGATAGGAAATGAGGCTTATTTGTTCCTTTCAGAGGCCAATTTCAAACAGAAATGCAGAAACCCTCCCGAGTGCCTAGACTTGGAGAAGGCTACTGAGCTTAGTGTTTCTCCACCTTTTGTTCCACTCTGCCCTCTACCAGGAGCCTTCACAGACATGTTTTTCCCCAAACACCCTCCATGACATTTTAATATTTGATCTGTTTATGAACTATATGAATACTTGTGCTTTATACATAAAAAACAAGACTTTTGCCCTCCAAGAACACTTTTCACCTCCTGGGACAGAAATCACCCCCAATGCACTCTTTGGTCTGAAGGACCCAGACTCAGCCGCCCTAATCCAGCAGCCAAGAACACCCACTAACCTGTCTCTACAGGACAGAATCAGGACTTTGCTAAAACAGGAAGGAGTAGAGTCAGGATCCAGGATATTAACCACTAGGACTGGGGTCAGCTTCATCACTGGGACAGATTGAAAAGGCATTTCCTCAGAAAGGGAGTCAGCTGCCACGACTTAGGCCAGAGCTTCTCAACCTCAGCACTCCCAACATTTCAGGCTGCCAAGTCTTGGTTGGGGGGTCTGTCCTGTGCTCCCAACATTTCAGGCTGCCAAGTCTTGGTTGGGGGGTCTGTCCTGTGCTCCCAACATTTCAGGCTGCCAAGTCTTGGTTGGGGGGTCTGTCCTGTGCTCCCGACATTTCGGGCTGGCTGAGTCTTGGTTGAGGGGTCTGTCCTGTGCTCCCAACATTACGGGCTGCTGAGTCTTGGTTGAGGGGTCTGTCCTGTGCTCCCGACATTTCAGGCTGCTGAGTCTTGGTTGAGGGGTCTGTCCTGAGCTCCCGACATTTTGTGCTGGCCGAGTCTTGGTTGTGGGGACTATCCTGTGCATTGTAGAGTGTTTAGCATTCCTGGCTCCATTCACTGAATGCCAGTAGCACTCCTACCCTCAAACCCCTCAGTTTCCAAGCCAAAAATTTCTCTAGACATTGCCAAAAATTCCAAAAGCCAAAACTGCCCTCAACTGAGAACCACTGGTACAGCCTAAGAAAGATCCAGAAGGCTCAGTGGACTGCCACCTGATGTGTGCCTTATGAATCCAGTTCATTAAGGGGTTGGGAATAGCTTACAGGCCTCTGCATGGTGAAGAGGTTGTGCCTCCAACGTCAAAAGTCCACTGGGGGCATCAGACACAAAGGGGACAGCTGCACAACCCCTGAATCACTGTGGCCCTTTGAAGGACCTGGGAATGAAGAATGAATCATTCTGGACCCCTGGAGCAGCTGCTGAGGGAAACCAATTCCTTCAAATTACACAGTTCAGTCCCAAACCCAGGAACTCCAGCCAGAACTGTGCCAAGCCAAGGGAATCTTATTGACTACATTAAACTCTGAGAAATCCTGTTCTGTTACTAAACTAAGAGACGGAGGAAAGAAAAATCTGTAACCATCACAGACATAGGTACTTGTAAGTTGTTCTCTATGGCTGACATCTAGATGGGTTCATTCTGGTAACTACACCAGGCAAGGCAGCCTCCCCCTCCAGGGCCGGGGCCACCACTCAGCTGGCAGAAGAGCCCTGCCCCTGCAGTTTCTATACTCTGGACTCAGTGTTTTCATCTCTCTCCCCTCCCTGACTCTTTGTTGGCCAAATAAGAAAGCTCTCTTACTTCTTCTCTGACTCCACTTCTTAGATAATGAAAGACAAAAAGAAACTCCTAGGTTTAGTCTTAAAATCTGACCCAGACGCAGACTGCTACTCTGACTGACAGGGACATGTTCAAAAGAGCGGTATCATTGGGCCACAGTGACAGCTACAAGCAGACAGTCAGAGGAAGCGCCCCAGAGACGCTTAATGTCAACTCATCACCTCCCAATGCGCAAAAATGACAAAATTTGAAGTTTTGAAATTTTATCTGGCAAAATAAGTCAACTATATTTACTGAATACTGCTTACATAATCACTTCCAGGCGAGTCCACTTGGCAATGGCTTACCAGGGGAAAAATAACAACTGCTACACCTCCCTGCAATCCTGTGGGTAGTGTGATAATCACATAGCTGGCTTGAGATAGTGATTCTTAAACACTATTCCTGCAGAACAAAGGTTTTCCATAAGCCAGAAAAAGGGCGTCTTCCACTAAACATCAGAACTACAGCAGGGGAAAATTTAAGCTAGTGAGTAGAATTTTCTTAATTTAAAGATTTCTTCTCTAAATTGTTCTTAAACCTTTGATGCTACAACGGCTGTCAGCTACTAATGACAGAGCACAAACAACGTCTTAGAAAACCTAAAAAGAATCAACCATGCCCCGCCTAAGCAGTTTCTGTCCAGGAATATGAGTGGGCTCGTGGCTGGAATTTCATGCTGCATATAAACAGCACACTCAAATTAGCTATCCATCCTAAGTGATCCCGATTTCGTATGATGGAATGAACCATCATATCTTATGATCTTCAACCAAGAGCACTATAATTTCAGGGGCTCTGCCACTTGCACAGATTTACAAATCACTTAGAGGTAGGGCAGTGTAGCAGTAACTAGCAGTAACTCTAAAAGCCTCCTAGCCTAGCTTTGAGGGCTGGATCTACCTCTCACACTTAGCTGTGTGACCCTGGGCAAGTTCCCCGACCTCTCTCTATCTCACTTCCCTCAGCTGTAAGTGGGAATGACAGCAATCTCCACATGATCATAGTAAGTATCAGAGGAGCTGATAAATATACAGTGCCTAGTGTAGAGCCTGGTGCATGAGCTGTACAAGCATTCACTGGTATCATCACCATCACCACCATCCTCATTCTGTGGTGAGGGAAGGGAAATGCCTTTGAGGATCATGGAAAGCAGTAGTGAAGACACTTTCAAATTCCTCCACAAGGGGGAATGGAGCTGTAGCATGGCATTGACTTGTGATCCAAACTGATGGCTGCCCAAGAGCTCTTAGAGACGCCAGGAAATGAGAAAGGGACACATACCCAAATCATGACCATGTGGGATTCTAGCAAGATCTCAGGAAAACTGGGCTGCAGCACATTCAGGCTGATGTTTGGCACTAGGGAAAAAAAGGCAGGAGAAACACCTTTGTCATATATTCTCTCTCAGCCTATCCATGGTATCCACATTCCCACAGAATCCACATGCAGCCTTCCTGACAAGCTGACAACTGTTGAGGAGACAGAAGAAACCTCAACCCAATTCTTGATCATTTACTCCACTGTATGAAGAACTCATCAGGCATTCTGAGAAATACAATGGAAACAGACAACGAGGCTTCTTCACATGCTTGGTGCTCCGACAGCTCTCAGCACCATCACTTTTCATTGTGGCACAAATGCTACTCTCCTATTAGGCATAAGGGACAGCTGCATAGCCCCTGAGTCACTGTGGCCCTTTGAAGGGTCTGGGAATGAGGAATGAATCATGCTGGACCACTGGAGCAGGTGCTGTCGGGACAGGGACCAAGCTTGTCTCCTCACTAATATGTCCACAGGGCCCCATGTGGTTCCTGGCATACTTGATAAAGAGTTGTTGAATTAGCTGATTAGTGGGTTTGGCTAGAATGGGTGGTAAGAGGAACAAAATGAAGGCACACACAAGCTTGAGGCGAGTTGTTTAAGAAAACAGCTGATGAATCCAAATACTTATTGAGTTGAAGCTGACAATACAGTGGGAATATCAAGTCGGAGCTTGAGTGTAGAGATGTGGGGCACAGATAGGGCTGTGGTTGTCACTTTCTATAAAAGCGTTGGCTGCATATGCAGGGAGCGGGGGAGCAGCTCTACACTGAGGCATAAAGGGAAAGCACCAGCTTGCTCCAAGCCCAGAGGCTGGGGAAGTGCCCATGGTGCAGGGGAGAGAGGAGCCCAGAGGAAGACGAGACAGATGGACCTGCAGATGGGCAGTAGCCACTTTAGGGAGAAGAGTTTAAGGAGGGAGTGGATGAGAAAGAAAAGGAGTATGCTATGTAGGTACAGACAACTCATATAAAGAGTGTTAAAAAGGAAGAAACAGCAGCAGGTTGAAGGGACAGCAGGGTCTACAAAGGCTTACTTTTCTAAGATAAGGGTTTCTTATAAATGTTTCCCTCCAGAGCCAGCCCAGAAAGTGACCTCACTCACATTTGGGGTTGATATGGTCTTCCACATTCCAGATGGAGTTGAGGGTTTCTTTCAGGTATGGGGTACAAGTAACTTCCAGCTGTTCCCAGCCCCTGTGAAAAGCAGGAATCACAGATGTGTCTCAGAAGACCTGAAATCCACTAGAGAGCAGTGCTAGTCTGTTGCTCTTAAATCCATGGACTCCTTCTCTTTTCCACCGGGTGGCCATTATTTCTTCATGTTCTATGTTGCACAACTATCCTCGAAAAGTCTAGGATATGGTATTCCCATTTTAGAAAGAGACATAGACCCAGAGAGTTATTAGCACCTGCCAGATGTGAAAATGTCCAACTATCAGAACACACAAAACACTGAAGCTCCCCTGGAGTTCTGTGCTCCATAATACACCCGACGCCTACTCTCCCTCCATCTGCCACTAAGAACAAGTAGACAGGAGGCGAACACGGGAAAACAAAACCTTCTGGCATATGCCTTGTAGAGTGAAAGGAAAATCAGGAGCCTCGATTGGGACAGCAAAACCCTAGAGACTTACCACTTGGGCAGAACCTTTCCCGAGGAGCCAAGAACACAACCTGTGACCAAATGGATGAGGCGAATTCGACTTCTCAGCACCTTGATCTGGTTTCCAAATTTTCTGTTTACAACTTCAATCCGCCAGAAATCATTTGAGTCCCCTGTTCCATTCTGCCATAAAAGCCAAGAAACAAACAACAAAGGAAGTGAGGGGACTTTGGAGAAAATGTGTCAGAAAGGGAAATGGCCACCTTTAGATGCCATCGTGTTATAAAGGTCAAAGACCAAATCGGGCTCAATGATAGAGATGAGCGAGGGAAAAAGAAGGCCAAAGACATATCCTAGGTGATTGGCATTGTCCCAAAACTCACTATTACAAGCAAAAAAACAGTGGTTTAACTCCTGGAACCAGAAGTCCAACTCTTCATCTCACAGAACTAGAGTTCTAAATAGATGCTTTTCCCTTCAACCATACGCAAGACATCACCCTGAGCCAACAGAAACAGATCTGGGCCATTTCTGTCCATTACCTTGGTCATCTACTCACTCATCTAAGCCAGAAAGGTCTGGCCTGGCTGTTGCACTTTGGAAATTTAGACGTGTGTGCCTAATTCTTCTCAGAAGATGCCCACAAAGAAGATGAGAAAGTTCACAGTCTTGACCTGGCACAATGGAGGATGGGCAAACAGCAAGAGGGCTGGGAAATCCACCTGAAGGCCATAATCTTTGTATAGTTTTCCAGCAGTACTATTTGTCTTCAGTTACCCACAAAGCCGTAAGTACTCACAGAGCTTTTAACTATTAACTGCATCTTCTTGATAGTAAAATGAAAAAGCTATGGGTAATATCCCTCTGCACAACAGGGAAGTGATACTTAAAGCTAATGAGAATTTGGGATCTGGCAAAAGATAAACATACATGTTCGTCTGGGGCCATATTTTGGGTCCCTGGCTTCTATGTCCAATGTGATTTTAAAAGAGATCCAAATAGCATTCATATTTGACATTTACTAAGTATCAGAGCATGTAAATGGCATGGTTATTATGTGAGGAGAGAGATGGAGACAACAGACTTCATAGGCTGCTTTTCCCAGAGCAAGCCCAGCCGAAAAGCTCCCAAAAGTTAAGAGGGTCCCTGTGCAGCCTCTTATCCTCAGGAACATTCCAGAATTCTGGGGAGGAGAGGTTCCACCACACAGCCCTAAGCCAAGGCCCATAACTTTTTACATCCTGTTCACATCCCCGCTGCTTACTTACTATGCCATAGCCGGTGACCTGATAGTGCTTCCGGGTCAGGGGAGCCTCGTGATAGTGACTGTGCAAGTTCCGGGAAGTTCTAGAAGTTAGAAAAGAAATGTATCATTACCCTATAGAAAGAAGATGTGCAACATTTCTTCTTTTACTAAGGATGTTCAGAGTCATCTGCCAGGATAAGAAAAATTAGAATCTGAACTATTAAATCCAACATATCAGGAATGTGTTTCCTATTTACTCACAAGAAATATCCTGAGAACTGGAGAAGAGATGAGCCCAAACCAGGAGAGACAGATGGTAGGAGCGCTGGACAACGTGCCAAGAAAGGGGCTAACTTTAGGTGCCGGCAGGGAGGTGGGGGGCGACTTTCACACATTTAGTAGCTTTGAAGCACTGAGCTTGTCTGACTTAGGAGGCAGGTTTGGGGAGAGGAGAAATTAAAACTTGTAATCTACATGGCCTGAGCTAGGTAGCCTCCTCACTCCCATTTACTCTTTTTGCTCCCATCACCAGGTTTTTTAAGTGGACATCTGTGGAGGATGGTTTAATTTAGCTTTTATTTATTTAGCTTTATGTAACAACTCTCACGTTTATCTGGAACAAGTAATGAATGTTCTCTGTAAAATTTTGGAAAACTTACAAAAGTAAAATTTAATTCAATAAATTTTTATTAATGACAAAATGAAATTTACTTAACAAAAATTTTAAGTATTCAAAATCCAGCTGACTAGAAAAAAGCCACTGCTAATTGCTTCTGTGTGTGTGTGTGTGTGTGTCCTAGTACACACATACACACACACACACACACACACACACACACCCCGTTGATTTTAAAAAATCTGTACCAGCTAATTCCAGTCTACGCAATGTTTACAGGGCTGCTCCTGCTGTCTGTTGTTTCTGCTTTCTCTTGCACACAGTGACCATTTCCTTGTGTGCTTCATTACTTTTGGGTATATACTACTGTCACTAAAAAACTATTTATGGGAACAAATAACAACGTCTCTCCCAAGAAAGGACTTATATTTGCTTTTAGCCATGCACCTAGGAGACATTACCAATCTAGGATCATGTTCATTTAAATTCATGGCTTGGAGATTCTGAGATCATCGAGGTGACATGAATTTGAGCTGGAAGTTCATGTGAGGATCAAATGGTAGTTCCAACTTGTCAGGGACTAAGGACAGTTTCCCACCCAACTCCCAACACTTAGCTGGGTCGTAAGGTAACTTTTCCTGGGCATAGGTGGATAGGGCAGATTTACCCTTACCCCAAGCCTTTGGGGGTTCCAAATTTGGGGAAGGATAACAATACATTTACCACTTTGGGTGAGCCTAGAGGTTTGACTTTAAAACCTCTTCTCTCAAGAGGCAGCCAAAAGTCAAGATTGTGAGATCAAAGTGAAAAAAAAGGGACAAGAAATAAGTTTTGCTTATTTCTCTGGATTCCTCATTTCACTTAGGATTTGGTCTGGTAACTCTTTAATATCTTGTCAGCCTTTTTATGCTCTTAAGAAGTCTTTAGATTATTCCAGCATTTTTAGTCATTTTCAGTGAGAACACTAGTTAAATAAGCTAGCTTGCCATATTCTCTGAAACAGACTCCTACATCTTTCTAAAGGCAGACACTTAAGAAGAAGCTTTGGGAGCTGGGTGTGATGGCTGATGCTTGTAATAGCAACCATTTGGGAGGCTGAAGCGGGAGGATAGCTTGAGCCCAGGACTCTGAGGCCAGCCTGGGTAAATAGCAGCAGCAGCAGCTTTGGACAACTCAAATTTTCCTCTAGGAAACAGGAAACTGAAAGGTTCCCAGTAGGCAGGCAAAGGCTGGCCTGTGATTTCGTCACCTTCAAAAAAGCTTCTCCTATTCTCATGAAGCAGCCTTGCTCCATTGACCAAAGCCTCATCCAAATCTAACTTCTGTTTACTTCTTAAAATAACTCCCTCCCTGGCCAGGGGAGGTGGCTCATGCCTGTAATCCCAGCACTTTGGGAGGGCAAGGCAGGTGGATTACCTGAGGTCAGAAGTTCAAGACCAGCCTGGCCAACATGGTGAAACCCTGTCTCTACTGAAAATACAAAAACTACTGGTGGGCGCCTGTAATCCCAGCTACTGGGAGGCTGAAACAGAAGAATTGCTTGAACCTGGGAGGCGGAGGTTGCAGTGAGCCGAGATCGCGCCATTGCACTCCTGCCAGGGAGACAGAGCAAGACTCCATCTCAAAACAAAAACCCTCCCCTTGGTGCCCATACCATTCATTTATCCACACCGCAAACTGACTTACTCTTTGTGTTCTAGTCGAATAATGTCTCCATGCCTTACAAACTCCACTGGGAAGGAAGGGTCGAGGGGGTCTGCCAAGAAGAAACAAGCGTTGATATGGAAACCACTCACTGGGCTACTATTAATCAAGGGCCTACTGGTGAACAGTTACAGTATCATGTGGCGTCTGCTAGACGTATTAACCAGGTACTCTGAGACCAAAGAGGAAGGGCCCCTCAACAGCTTCAGAGGATTAGAGAAGGATGTACCAGAGATAATGCTTGAAAAGACTCTTAAAGGAAGGAGAGATTTCTGTCAGGTGAACCAGCAGGGGAAAAGGCACTAGAAGTGTGAAAGAAGAAAAATTCTGGCCGGGCAGTGGCTCATGCCTATAAGCCTAGCCCTTTGAGAGGCCAAGGCAGGCAGATCACCTAAGGCCAGAAATTCGAGACCAGCCTGGCCAACATGGTGAAATCCAACCTCTACTAAACATACAAAAAATAGCCGGGTGTGGTGGCACACACCTATAGTCCTAGCTACTCAAGAGGCTGAGGCAGGAGAATCGCTTGAACCCAGGAGGCGGAGGTTGCAGTGAGCTGAGATCACACCACTGTACTCCAGCCTGGGTGACAGAGCAAGACTCTTTCTCAAAAAAAAAAAAAAAAAAAAAAAAAAAAAAAACCCAGAAGAAAAACTCCTTTGATGGATAGTAAATGGGGTTCATACTGTAAGGGTGGGTGGGGTGGGGGAAAGGAGTGGAAACGGAAACAGACAAGGCTACAAATGAATGTGGCCAGACTGCATATTCCAGGCTGGAACGTGGCCTAGTTACTGAAGCCCTCAGTGGAGCTTAAGCTCGGAAGCTAAATAATAAGACTTTAGTAGTAATAACAGTAGTCTTCTAAAAAATAATTCCATACAAATGACCACTTGCCCAACTCTCCTCAAAATCAAATAAATCCTGACAATTTTGCCAGCAATCATCTTGTCTCTGGCAATAAACTTGCTAAATGTGAGGTGAAGAAAGTGATGAAATGATTAAAGGACTACTTCTGTATCATCTCAAGGTCAAGACCAATCAGGATCTCCAAAGTGATGACATGGAAAAGGAGCTGGCAGTAATCACAGCAACACAGAATGGATCCTTGCAAATTTCAGTCCCAAGCAGTGAGACACCAACACACTATAAATAGATCAAGGTCAAGAAAGATAAATTTGCCATTGCAAATCACTGGCTCTCGGGAGAATCAGAGAACTCAACTTCAGAGATGCCTGTTTCCATGCTGCCCGTTAAGAGTGTCTTAAAAGCATCAATTAGCAAGATGACAAATCAAGTAAGTCAATAGGGAGGGAAGTTTTATTTCATATGCATTTGGTGGGGAGGGGCATTTATAGCCTTCAAGAACATAAAGACCCTAGAATATGAAGCTCCCACAAAATCCTTAATCACTTTGATGAAATGAAACTCATCTTAACTCAGAAGTCACAATGGAATAAGAGACTAGGACTGTTCAAAGACTTGGTTGATGACCACGACAAAAGCAAAACTGGTCTTCCCTCAGAACTCATCATTGTGAGAGAACACTCACGTCTGGCCTGCTGAATCAATCAATACACATTATAAAGCTATAACAACAGACTCTGCCCAATGGTTTGGGCAGAGTCATAATTTATCCGACTAAGGAGCAGAATGCAGAGAGTGGTTGTATACACCACGTTTCTAGCCTACACGACATTAAGAGGAGGTGGATTTCGGTGAGCAGCCACCGAAGGCTGGCCTCATGAAGGCCCAGAGAAGGTGAACTGGGACAGGCTAAGTCAGGTGGGATTTGCTGAGGAGTCAGAGATACCTGTGGCACAGAACCATCAGCAGTGATGCCAGGCTCGAAAAGTGAGTGGAGGATGCCCTTTCTTCTCTTCTCAGCTGCAGCAGAGGTACAGCCTGCAGGTAGCTAGCTGTCTGGCCAAAGACAGGAAGATCTGGCTCTAGCTCTTGCTCATGTCATAAAGCCCTGGGAGGCTGATAGGTGTGCTTCAGAGGTACTTCACCCAGGCCAGTTAGGAACAGATCAGCAGGCACTGAGTGACATCCCAGGAATCAGCCTAGACAAACTCCAGTTACAGGGCTAGCAGGCCCTCAGGTCTCCCACTGACTGACTCAGCCCAGGGCTGAGCAGTGGGCAGCACTCTATCTTACCAAGACAACTTGAGCCGCACCACATGCTGGGGTGTGCAATGTTTGCAATGTTTAGTGTGCTCTATGTCGGAAATGAGAGCAGCCGCCAGGTGCCCTTAGCTGGGGCCACTCACCAGCCCCTGGTGGCATGCTAAGGTAACCTCTTCCTGGATTAAATCTGGGCTCTGCTATCTGTCTTCAAAATGACAGCTCTGAGAGCAAGTTCTTACCTCTTCTGCTCAATGCTTATCCCCTATGCCTACAACAGTGCTTGGAACACAGTAGATGCTTAATAAATAATAATTGAAAGGATAATTGAGATAAGTAACGGTGTCAAAGATGCTTAGGAAAGCCCATCTCAGGATCATCCTTTTGCAGGCATGAGAAATCTTAAGGAAGGCTCAGAGGGAGTAACAGCACAAGAAGCATCGGTCTCTGACCACATTACCTGAGTTTGTGTTATGTTTCTTGATAATCCACAGGTTGTTGTAGTCCTTGTGCAAATAGGTGGTGACCTGTGTGGGGAGTCGGGGTGGAGGAAACAGGAGGCAGGAAGGAGGATACCATCACTATCAGCACAGCTGGCCAAGGACAATCAACAGCAAATGAACATCGCTTAAGCCAATTTCAGAATCCCCAGCCACCAACCTGAGGGGCCACGTTTCCCAGTGGGGCTCAGACGTAGCACTGGTGAGTAAGATTCTCTCCTTCCTTTTGCATTTAGAGGCAGAAGGCTCTTGTCGCACAACAGCCTTTTTGTCTCTTTGTCTCTTTCTGCATCTTGCCCTCAAAGTTCCAGCCTTCTAGAGGGAGGAACCACAAGGCTTTATATAACCGACTCCAGCACAACAGGATGAGGATTTAAGTGCATTTTGAAAGTAATTCAGGCTGGGCATGGTGGCTCATGCCTGTAATCCCAGCACTTTGGGAAACCAAGGTGGGCAGATCACCTGAGGTCAGGAGTTCAAGACCAGCCTGGCCAACATGGTGAAACCCTGTCTCTACTAAAAATACAAAAATTAACTGGGTATGGTGCATGCCTGTAATCCCAGCTACTTGGGAGGCTGAGGCAGGAGAATCACTTGAACCCAGGAGGCAGAGGTTGCAGTGAGCCGGGATTGCACCACTGCACTTCAGCCTGGGCAACAGAGCAAGACTCCATCTTGGGGGGAAAAAAAAGTAATTAAGATCATCCCTCAAACTTGCTAAATCAAAAATCCATGCTAGCATATTTTCTGTAATGTGGCCAAATGAAACTAAAAAGCTCCATCAGTATCCTGTCCTAATATTTAACTCACATTTTATACCAAAAAATCTGGGAACAGTATGACTGTCTAGTAACAGAGAAATAGTTAACATGATAAATAGTATGTCCCTGGGATAGAATACTATGCGGCCACAAAAAATGTTTCAGAGCATTTTTTTAGCAACACAGGAAAAGGCTCATGACACGCTGATGCTGAAAACGGCTACCATTTATTACCAGGCACTGTTCTAAGCACTGGGCAAGTCATTTATCCATCATTACAGCCCTGTGCCGTAAGTACTATGGTTATCCCCACATTACCGACAAGGAAACTGAAGTTAAGTAATCTGCTCAAGGTCACACAGATTATGAGTTGGGGAGACAGGATTCAAACCAGGGCAGCTAAATCAATGCTCCCAGGATAGTGACTATATACATCCAATTATGCCAGTTATGTAAAACAAGTAAAGAACTCTTACAAATGAGTTTTTATAACCCCAATTGGATAAAACATGACCAATTTATAGTCATATGCCACATAATGACATTTCAGTCAACAATAAACTGCATATATGATGGTCATTCCATAAGATTATAATACCCTATTTTTACTATATCATCTCTATGTTTAGACATGTTTAAGTTAATACAAATACTTATCACTGTGTTCCACTGTGTTCCAACTGCCTATGGGTATTCAGTACGGTAACATGCTATCCAGGTTTGTAATCTAGGAGCAATCAGCTATACCGGGTAGCTTAGGTATGTAGTAGGCTGTACCACCTAGATTTGTGTAAGTACATGCTATAATGTTCACCCAACAATCAGTTACCTAATGACACATTTCCCAGAAGATATCCCCCCGATGCATGACTGTACTTAGAAAGAGATTTAGAATTTGCATTTAGGGAAATAATTATTTTGCTTGTATTATGGCTGCTTCTTTTGAGTGGTATTTGCTTTGTTTCTCAGGAAAAAAAATTAGGGATAATGGTATTAAGAATATACAAGAAGCGGCCGGGCGCGGTGGCTCAAGCCTGTAATCCCAGCACTTTGGGAGGCCGAGGCGGGTGGATCACGAGGTCAAGGGATCGAGACCAACCTGGTCAACATGGTGAAACCCCGTCTCTACTAAAAATACAAAAAATTAGCTGGGCATGGTGGTGCGTGCCTGTAATCCCAACTACTCAAGAGGCTGAGGCAGGAGAATTGCCTGAACCCAGGAGGCGGAGGTTGCGGTGAGCCGAGATCGCGCCATTGCACTCCAGCCTGGGCAACAAGAGCGAAACTCCGTCTCAAAAAAAAAAAAAAAAGAATACACAAGAAGCTAAAAATTTTGGTGCTCATAAAGAAATTAAAATTCAGTCCACATTCCTGAAAAAAAGCTTGACATCATCCACCCAGCCTGGATTTCCTCAAGGAAATTAAGGTTCTGGGATGCTAGTGTGTGAACTCTGTGTAGACGTGTGTAGGAGAATGGTTTTTGTGTGTCTGTTTTACAAGAGCAATTATAATTAAAATTCCTACAAGAAAAATTATTTATCATGAGTACAGTCCATGGCCCCTTTTCCCACTGAAATGTTTGTTTTGACAATGGAGATTTTTATACCGTGAGATTTCCTAACACAGGTATCCAATTATAGCAGAATGTCGTACATTAAAACGTTCAGATAAACACTCATCTTCTGGGATCCCATGCAGCTTTTGTTTTCTGTTTTTCTACTTTTCTACATTTTCCAATTTTATAAATGCTATGCTTTACAAACATTTTAAAATAGAGACCTAGACACGTTAACAAGACATGAAACTGCAGGGCAGGAAGGGCCACTGGAGATTATTTATTCCAATCCCCTCAATTTACAGATGAAGAACAGGCTGAAAGGCTAAGTGATCTGGTCAACAACAAAGCCAGACACCTTTGTCCTTTGGCCCAGTCCACTTTCCCTCTACCACCATTTCACACCTCCATGCATGGGCCCTAAGTACATAACACTAGCTTAACAGAGCCTTTTGGAATTTGGCCTTTCCCTCCCTTTGCACACAGTGTAGATATTCCTGGTCACCACGTCTGTAACTGCAGTGTCTTCTACATGACACCTGCAGCAATCTATCACCACATAACACAGCATAGCTAGCTGTCTCTGCCCTGGGTGTACATGACTTAGAATCATCTGGAGAGCTTAAAACTAAACCAAAAATGCATAATGCATGGGTCTCACCCTAGATCAATTAAATCATCATCTCTGCAGTGGAGTCCCAGCATCACAATCTTTAAAAATTTCTTCATTGATTCTAAGTGCAGCCAGGTGAAAACCACTGGGCCAGACATGAATAGAGAATTGAGGATAAGAAACTGACACTAAAATCTAATACCCTGTAATATGGTTTGCCTCTGTGTCCCCACCCAGTTCTCAGCTTGTAGCTCCCACAATTCCTACGTGTTGTGGGAGGGACCCGGTGAGGGATGACTGAATCATGGGGCTGGGTCTTTCCCGTGCTGTTCTCATAATAGCGAATGGGTCTCACGAGATCTGATGGTTTAATCTATTTGATTTTTTTTTTTTTTTTTTTTTTTTTTTTTGAGACAGAGTCTCGCTCTTTTGCCCAGGCTGTAATACAGTGGCGCAATCTCAGATCACTGTAACCTCCTTCCACCTCCCCGGTTAAAGTGATTTCCCTGCCTCAGTATCCCAAGTAGCTGGGATTACAGGCGCATGCCACCACGCCTGGCTAATTTCTTATATTTTTAGTAGAGGTGAGGTCTTACCATGTTGGCCAGGCTGGTCTCAAACTCCTGACCTCAGTGATCCACCCACCTCAGCCTCCCAAAGTGCTGTGATTAGAGGCATAAGCCACCACACCCAGCCAGAGATCTGATGGTTTTGAAAAGGGGATTTTCTCCGTACAAGCTCTCTATTTGCCTGCTGCCATCCACATAAGGTGTGACTTGCTCCTCCCTGCCTTTCGACATGGTTGTGAAGCCTCCCCAGCCATGTGGAACTGTAAGTCCAATGAAACATCTTTCTTTTGTAAACTGCCCAGTCTTGGGTATGTCTTTATCAGCAGCATGAAAACGAACTAATACACCCTGGATTACTTTCTAGCAACTAAAAGGGAAATAAAGCATTTGGAGAGCCACAACTTTCTGCAAAGTAAAAATCTTTGCACAGTAAATATCCCATGCTTTTTGCCTCTGTTCACTGTCCTTTGTCATAATTATTGCCTCCAAACTGGTTCCTTGTGAGCTATCACATTCCCACTCAAGTTACCCTTTCTAAACTAGAGATCTAATCATAATAATAATTTTCATTGCCTCAAGCAAAGTCAAATCTACAGTAACACAGGCCTCTCCCCAATATGGTCCCACCAACCTCTTCAGCATCCTGCTTCTCCCTCTCAGGCACCATCCACTGCAGCCACGGAAACACTCCTTAACGTGGACACAGTGTCATTCACTCATTCAGATGAACTCACATGGCTAATTTCTCATAAGCACTTAACATTATTATCTCATTTAATCCTCACAACTGCCCTATGATGGAGAGAGGCACTACTTATTTTCCCCAACTTAAAGAATAGGATACTGAAACACAAGATGAACTTGTCCAAAGTCACACTTTATATGAAAGCACGTTTCACACCCAGGTCATCTAGCCTGGTTCCCAGGTCTGTGTTCATAACTACCACACAAGTATTTACTCATCACCCACTTCACAGCAGGCACTGTTAGGCACTTGAGCCTTCCAGGAGCTGGCAATCAGGTAGCAAAGAGACGGCAGAAAGTAAGCACTCACAGTTCAATATGAGAAGGGCTACCATGTAGGCATGTGGAGGATGCCACCAAGCCTCTCATCAGAAGGGCGCCCCATCCCGTATCACAAAGAGGTGGGGCGCAGTGGTCACTGAAGAACACCTACGCTGATGCCTAGAGAAGCTGGGGTTAGCCTGAGGAAAGAGAAGCGTGCAGGGCTGGGAAGAATGTTTCAAGCAGGGGGAACAGGATGAGCAAAGGATGGGAGGCAAGAAAGTGAACCGTCATGGCGAACAGCGTTGCTACGGTACCAGCGCACAAAAGGCTCACCAACCTGCTGCTGGCGGGCGCCAATGCCCTCGGGGTAGAGGTGCCTATGTGAGTGCAGATAGCCGATGGCCATCTGGAGGTTCTTCACGGTGATCACAGAGCCGTAGGCCAGGTCTGGGAGGAAGGGAGACAGAAGAGGGCTGAGCGGGCACAGCGCTAGAGGCTGCCCCAGCCTGTGAGGAGCTCGGAAGCCGCAGGGTTCACTAACCCTCTACAACACTCCTGTGCGCCCCAGACTGAAGCCCAGCTGCCTTCTCACTCCCATGGAGCTGACTCAAGACAGTTCACCACAGGGACCCACTTAACGCCCTCCCCTCCCTCCTAAGGACTTCGGAAGAAGTTGGCGTTAACACTGTCATTATCAAAGCACCATGTGTAACAGCAAAAGATTAAAAACAACTTGTATTTCTCAAGGTCTCTACATGTATTTAATGGAATAAAGAAGGAAGAAGCATTTTCTGTTTACACCTGGAATGTTCTCCATGATATAACATTTTGATAAAACATGTTTTTCACTTACATCCTTTTGTGCCTTTCAAATCTTGTACCATGTAAAACAACTGTTCAATGGTGTTTTGTTTTTACTCTGAATTTAAAAACAAAAAACACAGAGAAAACCACTTCCCAAGGGCATCCCCTCCTCCCATTGAGAACCCTCTTTTCCTTAATACTGTTCCTCTTCCAGTCCTCTGTAATGACCTGCTCTATTTTTCTTTGTTCATTCAGTAGATCAGTAGAATGCACTGATTACATGGCAGATCCAAACATGGAGGAGGCCTGCCTGTGGCTCTGGAAGAGCCCTGTCTACAAGGAAGATGGCTTCACACACTGACAAGTACAGGACAATGGGCAACTGCCCCGCAAAGGCGTGACACTGTGTGACACGGTGGGAGTGATGGGAACTCAGAACAGGAGAAATTCTCTCCCAGGGAGTAAACGGAGGCTTGATAGAAGAGATGAGAGCTGAGCTAGGCCTTTAAATAGTGAGCAGGCATTTGCTAAACTCTGCAGCTGTGTTCTTCTGAGTTCTCAGGCAGGCCAACCTCTGCAGCCCTGCACACAGCTGACCATCTTCGTTTCTTGAAATGCTCTCTGTTCCCACTTCTCGACGCATGCTCCCTCAAGGATCACTCTTCTATAGCCTCCTCCCCTACTTCCTCCACCTCTTGCATTCCCCACTGACCTGACCTCAGCCCGATTCTTCTCCTCTTCCTACAGTTTCCTTACAAATCACAGCTACTACCACAGCGTGAATCACCCTTTTACTTGGTTGATTCCTCCTTTGAAAGCATCAGCCACAAGCCCACTGGCCCCATGGCACCAATTTCCCCAAGCAGCACACTGTCAACCTCTCTAGTGTGGAATTCAGTATCTGCCCTTCCAACCCAACTTCTCCTGCTTCCCTATTTCTCATTCCTCCCAGTCCACTGTATTTTTAGGCACTGTGCAAAGCCCTGGAAAGACTAATGAGTAAGATGCAGTCAGTCTCTGCCTCCAGGAAGCAATCACCTGCACTCAAGTCCTTAGTGACATATTTTTTCTTCTCTGTGCCTAGATCTCCCTTGCATACGCCTATCTGCCTTACCCCTGTGGCTGCCCCGCCATGCCGTGCTCAAGTCCCTGCAATAGCTTCCCAGAGGGCTTCTCCTTTCTCCAATCCTGTCCCCTCCCTAGGCAGCCGTGACTCTCCCATCCATGTCAACTCCCTACAACACAGCCTTCCTGGCCTCCTGCCTGCTCAAACACCTCCACTAGGTCTCCACGGCCTGTTTAAGGAAGCCACATACCTCCTCCAGACACCTCAAACCCTCAGTCTGGACCCAACCCAACTTTTCACATTTATCTTCCAGTAGTTTTCTGCATATAACCTGTGCCTTGAGTTTTGCTCTGTCCTCAGCTTTGATCATGTCATCCCTCCTGCCTGAGATGCCCTCTCCTCTATCTGCTAAAAGCCACCCATCCTTCCAGGGCCTGACTCCAAGGCAACCCACATCATGTACCTCTGATGCCCTCAACCGCCCAGCAGCCATGCTCTTTCACGCCTGTCGATCCCCAGAGCTGTACTCCCTCTTTATGTACTGAATGCCTCCGGTCACACTGTGTGGACCTTGTCTACACCAGGCTCCATCTCTGGAGGGTGAGCACATGCTCCACTACCATCTGGAATAGGTGAACGTCTGGAGGGTGAGCACATGCTCCACTACCATCTGGAATAGGTGAACGGATGCGACACTCAGAAAGTGATGCAGGACACTGACAACTGGCTCTGAAGGGCCTGGTGCTGTCACCAGATTCTCTCTGAGTGACCTTCCCACAGAGCTGGCTTGGAGAGCCACAAAGGAGAAGTCATTCTTTAGGGTCAGAGAACTTGCTGCTCAGGATGTCTTCCTCTCCTCTGTCCTGATTCACTCTTGAGTATTTTTTCAAAAAAATTTTTTAGAGAAAGGGTCTTGCTATGTTGCCCAGGCTGGAGTTCAGTGGCTATTCACAGGCACAATCCCACTACTGATGAGCACAGGAGTTTTGACCTGCTTTGTTTCTGGCCTGGGCCGGTTCACCCCTTCTTAGGCAACCTGGTGGTCCCCTATTCCCAGGAGGTCACCATATTGATGCCAAACTTACTGCGGACACACAATGGGCATAGCACACTACAGCCCAGACCTCCTGGACTCAAGTGATCCTCCAGCCTCAGCCTCCTGAGTAGCTGGGACTACAGGCATGTGCCACCATGCCTGGCATTCTCAACTATTTTTACCAGATCTAACTGGGTCTTTCTCCCACTGTGCCATAGGCTAAAACAACCCAAGCCATCATGTTTGTCTTTTCCAATTCAACTCCCAGGAAGTCCCTCTGCCTCCTACCTTCATAATGGCCCAGAGACACTCACGTTCAGGGATGGAAGCATTGTGCAGGTTGTTTCCTGAAAGCCGGGCCTGGAAGGCAGAACTGAAGAAACCATCACCAGGGCCACTGAGGGGAAAGGAAGAGCAAAAGAGAGCCAAGCTAAAGGAGTGAAAATGTGATTTCCCAGGAGTGCTGGGAAGAGCTCTGTTCAGTTAGTTTAAGGGACGTAGAATCAGACCATGGAACAGAGGTGGATGACGGAGTTGAAGAAACTGGGGTCCAAATCCCAACTCAGCCACTTACTAGCTGTGTGACCTTGGGCAAGATAATTTTGTTTAGCCTTAGCTCCTCATAAACTAGAGATATAAAGAAACCAAGAGAAGTCACAAGTGATTGTGATTAAATTGGATAATGTATATAAAATGCAGAACACGGTTCCTGATTCTCAGGAGCTGCTCATTAAGTGGGAGCTGTTGCTGCTGGCGTTACTGTTATTGTCGCCCTCACTCCCACTGCACACCGTAATGCTGCCTATCCCTCCTAAGCACAAGGAACTCCTATTTGGAGATAAGGGACAATTTGGCCAGAAGGAAAATAGCTTCTTCCTTCAGGTCAGGGTGCTGGCCTTTCTGAGCCCTTAGCATACCCAAAGGATAGAACACAGAGGGAAAGAAACAGGAAAAGGCCCCTGGGTCCCTCTGCTATCATTTTAACCACAGACCCAGAACATCATCCGGCCCCTCCACAGGCTTAGGGGCAAAAGGGAAACCAGAAGCAAGACGCTGCAAAGGCTCTGTCCGTACCTTTTACTCAGCACCATGAAGTGAACAGCAAAGGTGGCCGTGTAGAGAGCCAGGGGCAGCACGATGAGGCACAGGACGCGAGCAGTCACGTGTTTTCCCATAGTCACCTGCAAACAGAGGCCAGCATGGGGTGGTAGGCATGTGAGACCTCATTATTCCTTATGCACTATGCATGCATTATATATAGTTTTTAATGTGTAAGGCATAATCATAAAAAAATGGCCAACAGGAGAGAAGAGTATGTGGAAACCCTAAGCCTTTCTGTGACGCTCACCACCCAAGCACTATACAAGATAAACACGGGCCAGCCCTCTGCTGCCTCTCCAGGCTCTGCACCAAGGACCCCAGGCTGTCACTGTGCCAAGGACAAGGCACTGCCTACGTCTGGAACATAGCTGCTCACCAGTCCCCTCCATGTTCCAGGGACACTGATCTCCTTCTACTTTCCCAGGGCCTCCTCTACTGTCCCAGCACAACCCATCACACAGCTAACAGCTCCTTATCTTAACTTCAGGCCTCAGCTTCCTCCCAGAGGCCTTCCTGGATTGCTTGGGACTGGCCTAGTGCCATCCTCTGTGTTCCCCCAGCACTCCTGGCTGACTTTAACTGCCTCCTTATTTCTCCCTCTTCATTAACCCCAGAGGGTAGGGACCATATTGCATTCATCTGCATATTCCAGCACCTCACACACAGAATAGATGGTCATTACATATTTTCTGAGTGAATGAATAAATTTGTTAGGAGTTAGATCGGAAGTGATGGAGCAGCACCACAGCAGAGTGATGGCCTGGGGCCAATCTAACCTGGGTGTGATTTCTAGACATAGTTCTCACTCCCCTATGGCCTTGGGGAAGTCATTACCTCTGTAGGTCTTGATTTCCTCATTTGAAAATCAGGATAATAATTCCTCATAATAGAACTATTATGAGGGGTAAATTAGATCATGGAAGTAAAACATTTTGCATACTGCCTGGCATAGAATCAGCCCTTAATAAATAATAAACCATAAGGCCCTTATTGGCCTCCAAATATGGAGACTGTGGGTCAGGAAATGAAAATTGTGAGTTCAGGCCAGGCATGATGGCTCCCACCTGTAATCCCAGCACTTTGGGAGGCCAAGGCAGGCAGATCATGTGAGGTCAGGAGTTTGAGACCAACCTGGCCAACATGGTAAAACTCCATCTCTACTAAAAATACAAAAATTAGCTGGGTGTGGTGGTGTGTGCTTGTAATCCCCACTACTCAGGAGGCTGAGGCAAGAGAATCACTTGAACCCAGGAGGCAGAGGTTGCAGTAAGCCAAGATCGGCCACTGCACTCCAGCCTGGGTAACAAAGTGAAACTCCATCTCAAAAAAAAAAAAAGAAAGAAAGAAAATAAAAGGCATTACAAAACAAATGCCAAAAGAGGCTTCTAAGAATGTGAGTCCATCCTCTCCCTTGAACCTTCTCCAGTCCTTAGCCGGGCCTACTCCCTGCTGTTCTGCTGTCTGTGGAGGGTGGGGGTCCAGCCCACCTGGGGCCCAGAACACAGCCACTCTGCCCCCTGCAGCAGAGACAGAGAAGGCCACGGGCTCCTACTCAGCAATATCAGGGAGCAAAAACATTTGTAAAGCAAACAAATGCTTGGGTGCTCACCAAGGAAAGACTGAGGTCTCCGAACAGGTACCAAAGGTCTGCAATGGTGTTCAGCCCCACTTGAAGGATGATAAAGAGGCCAACAAACTTGACCCCTAAAGCACCAGCAAGACTAACGCCAGTCAGGCTGAGCCAGAACCACCAGGGGGCAGAGAAGGGCCTGAAAATCAACAAGACGGAGTTCAATTTGGCAGCAGGAACCAAACCCAAACGCAAGCGCAGCAGGGGACAGGGCAGTTCTCAGACTGAGAGAGACTGTGTCGGGCCCTGTCTTGGGGGCTCTTAGCTTCAAGAGACCATGGCGTGGCTCCATGGAGGAGGTGATCTGTGAAACCCCCAGAATGGCAGGTAAACCACAGTCGGAGTGAGCAGGCTATTTTTCTGGGGAGAGTGTCCACAGTGCTCCTGGCTAAGCACAGGGCTCAGGGTAAGCAGGGACTCTTTCTTCACTAGTGAAGGGTCAGAAAGGAGTAAAAGGAGAATTCTGAGGTGCCCCTGGACTCAGGCAGCCCTCTCTTTTGTGTCACCTCTGCCCTGTCAAAGGCAGCATTTACTGAGTGCTTACTATGTGTCAGGCACCATTCCAAGTACAATATGTATATTAACTCTTCTAGCCACCACTACAGACCACAGTGGATCCTGTGTCACTAGATCCTCTTTTTGCACAGGAGGAAATTGAGATACAGAGAGGTGGAGTAACACAGCTAGCCGGCAGTGGGGCACAGTTTTAACCTAGGCAGTTGGGTCAAGGTTAGTGCTCTTAACCATTTTGCTATTCGTACAGCACCTAGTACTCTATACTGTGATTCTCTGGCTCTCTGGCTGCCTCCTCTTCCAGAGTAAATATTCCTTAATGGCCAAGCCCAATGGAGCTCTGTACCTCCAGCTCCCAGCACAGCACCTGGCTCAAAGTATGTACTCAAGAAATGGTAGACGGAAGTGGACGTGGCATACGTAGAATACCCAAAGCCAGAGTGGGCTGAGAGTCACTGGTCAGGTTTGATTAGCGTAATGGAGCTTAAGGAGCCTGGCTGTGCCAAGTTAACTTCCAGAAAAGCCTAGAAGGGGCCAACTCTTTTGGTTTGAATAGCATCAATGACTTTTTCTACTTTCTCAGAAGTAAAAGGATGATCTGGAAAAGACTATTTTAGAAGCAGACTGGACCCTCCAGGTCAGCTTTAGAATTGACCAGGACCTGGAAAATTTCCTCTTGGCTGGTATGGGCCATTCAAGCCAACCTTGATATACACTATTTCCATCATTAGGTCAGGACTGGATACAACCACTGAGGGCAGGCAGCGTCTACCCTGGTGCCCTGCCTTCCAGGACAGAGTATGTGAAGGATAAGCCTGTCCCAGGATCTCTTAACCAGCACTGGTTACAAGAGATGGGTGGGGAAAGCATTAGGACCCCTCCATGATATCCCCAAACCCCTACCCAATTGTACCCCATTGTAAACATGATAGTAATACTACTCTTGAAAAAGACAACTGACATTTTCTCAGTCGTGAATATGGCAAAAATAAAATCATCTGTAGAAAACCTTTTAAAATCTATTTTTATGATCTAAAACAGACAATCTAAGTTAAAAAACAAACAAACAAAAAGTATGCTTGCCTTAAACTCAGTTTCAAGACAAGTCTCTGGGCACCCACCCTGGCCGTGGCCATTACGGAAATTTTTGGAGCTGCCGCAGCTTCCGACCCTCCCCTCCCAGGGATGGTGTTTCTGACCTGTCCGCACAGGAGTTGTACTTGACCATGCTCAGCATGGCAGCCATGATGAAGAACATCAGGATGGGGTCAAGGAGAATGTACTGGGACAGAGTGAGGCATCCCGTGTCTGAAAAACATGAGCTCACTGGTGAAAAAGTGAAGGAAGAGAGGGCCCCCCTAAAACCAAACACCCCAGCAGTAGGAAACAGTTCCTCTCGCCACTTCATTGAATGTCAGCACTTGGCAGTGAGGACTACAATCATCACTGAGTCTTCAGGGAGGTGGAAGCCACAGCTCTGGGAGACGTCAAAGCCCAGTGACAAGAAGCAGTATCTCACACTGCCTCTAGGCCCTCAACCCAAGAGAGGACCATGTCATTCATTCACCCCGAGCCACCCTGAGATGAGGTCTCTTCCACATTTCCACCATCAAAAAGGGAGTCCTGCCACCCTGCTTATGTCACCACAAACTATCTAAACCTATGACAGAATCTTATCATTTTACATGAAGTCTCTCTTGGGGGTTGATTCTCCAGACAGATGGCAGAGTGATGTTCTTTTCTAACTTAAATCCTTAAATCTCATTGTGTCATGCCCTTGCTTAAACCCTCCAATGTCTTCCAATCTCACTCAGGGTAAAAAGACCTCATGACACCTGCCAGAGTCTGCCCGGTCTCCCTCCCCATCCAACCTCATCTCCCAACACCCTCTGCCTCACTCACTCTGCCCTTGCCATGCCAGCCTTCTTGCTGGGGTCTGAACCCACAGACCTCCACACGACAACTGCAGCACACGTGCTTCCCCGGCCTGAACACTCTTCCCTCACATCTCTGCAGGGCTTGATCCTTTGTCTTGGTCAGGTCTCCACTCAAAGCTCCCCTCTCAGAAGCTCCTCCCTGACCACCCTGTCTAAGACAGTACTGATCTCCATTATTCCATCCCTTACCGTGCTTTACTTCCTACACTGCACTTGTGGCTTAAGACCTCACATTACAGACTTATTCGTTTATTTGCTTATTCACTGTCTGCCCCACAACGGGGTAAACTTAATGAGACCAGAGTGCCTCATTGGTGTATTCTCTGAGACCAAGAAAAGTGCCTGGGAGCAGGGGAGGTGCTCGAGAAATAACTGTTGAATAAAAAGTGAACAAAGGACGAAATGAATGAATGACTGAAGATGGAAATTCAAGACACAAGGAAAAAGCCACCAGTCCTCTGTAGAGAAAGCCAATAATCTTGCAATCTATCTGTCAAAACAAAGCAACATATCTGTCAAAGCAAATCCCTAAAGTACCCATTTAAATTGTTCTAGACTTCTTTAAATATTAACCTCCACAAGGTCATGAATTCACTTTCTTAAGAACAAAGCTATCAACAGGATCAACTTCTATGATGAACTCTCATTTATCCATGTGAGGATTATTATCCAAGCTCCCATTTGCTATCTCTTGCCACCCAGCTACTTCTGGGACATTTGCCTTTGTATTCAGTTGAAATTAGGAATGCAAACTAATCTTAACCTAAAAGAAGCAAAATTAGAATTATAAGCTTCCTTCAAACACACACATACTTGCATATAAATCTATCTTATTACCCATTCCAAACTCAAATGTGAATAACTTGGGATTACTCATGCTGATTGTCCCCTCCAATAATATACAGCCTTGTTATATATAACTATTGATATACATTAAGTATTACCAGTGAACAAAATGAGATTTGTAGTACATTTTACCCAATCCTAAAATTAAATAACAACTGGACCCACAGATAGGGACCTTGAATGTACTGATTTTCAGCTACACTCACAGAGTGACAACTATTTTCCAAAAGCCATGGTATGGCTAAGACAACTTACCGAAGGTGAGGAGGGCAGCGGTGAGCAGTGCTGCCGAGAGGGACTTGGACAGATCCAGTACAGTGAGGTAGGCAAAGGGGACCAGCCAGGAACCGAGGAATGCACAGAACTGTGGGAGGAATAGAGAAGCTGTCAAATAACAAGCTGAGCTGGGCAACAGGGACCTACCGGACTCAGTACACCTAATGATTAAGACAGGGGACCTGATGAAGGCATGACTTTGGTAACCTAAAGTCACCTAGGATATCTATAACTAAGAAAACAGTACTGTAACAGTGAAGAGTCAAATCAAGCAATATGTATGTTCACATTAAGCAGCAACCTGTGCACTGACAGGACATCAACAAAGTTCAGCCAGGAAGGTGTGGCAGGAGAGAAAGAGAAAAGCGACCAAGTAACTACGCACCAGAAATAGAGAGAAGGGAAGAAAATGAGTGTTATTAACACACAGATGTAATTCATAACCATTAGCTCCTATTACAAAACTGTAGGTACAAGTTGAGAAAGACCCCTCTGAAGGTGTTTCAGAGAATTCTAAGGAACCCCTAGTTCTTTTCTTCAATTACACCAGAAACCAGTCTTTAATCTGCACAATGAACATATTTTGATTTTGGAAAAAGGGATTGCTTGATACTTCAGTACCTGGATGCCTGTTTGGTTGTTTTTTTAAGCTGCCGGCCCTCTTCCATCCCCTACCTGTCCATCAAAATAAACACACAAGCCAGGAGAAAGGGAAATTCTCACATTTGGTTGTCACATCCAATTATGTATGCTACATGGTGTTCAAAAGTTATTAGGAAGACAGAGAATCACCTAAGAACATAATTTGAGGGTAGGATACACTCCTTGTTTAATAGACCAAGATATGGTCATGCAAATCAACTAATGACAAGGCCAAATGAGCACATAGCTATTTATCTAAAATGCTGGAAAACCCTCAAGGAAAGGGGCTAGTAAATGCAAACTTCTCTGAGAGGTCCACACTGCAGGTTAGCTTCTGCTGGCTTCATTCAGCTACACGTTCAGGGTTCCTGATGAGTTGGGTGTTTAGGCTCTGCCATGCTCCATCAAGGCTGGTGCTGTGAATCAGGACACAGAGGGACTGGAGCAGACGTTTGGCCTCCCTTAAAATAAGGCTGGAAAACTCTTTCTGTGTGCCTGAAATCTTCATGCGGAAAGACACAGGAGCTTAGTGACAGGGTGTGGGATGCCAAAATCTTCAGAAAAGGCTCTGAGATGTAGGCAAGACTCCAGCAGCTGTGGCTGTGAGAGGAGGAGCAGGCAGCGTGCTAGTGCCCAGAAGCACCAATGGAGCTGCAGGAGACTCCTGACTGCCCGGCTTCCAGGCTGCTCTCCAACCTCAGGTCTGACAGTACACCGGGGCAGGCAGGGCAGCAGGTGACAGTGTGTGCTTGCTCCTGTCTATGTCATCTCTGAATTATTTGCGGCCTCCTCTTCCCTTCTTCCTCACCTCAGTTCTAAATATCTACACCACAGGGGAGGATCTGATCATCCTCCCCCCTCCTCACCACCCAAAGCCCCTTTATTTACATCTGCCACCACTCCAGGGCTGCTAACTATAACACTTCTGATTTAGTGTGGCCCTAGGGTTCCGTCAGTCCATATCAAGTCAGGAAGCCTTACTCCTCTCATTCCCATGTAGCTGTGATGCTCATATTTATCCCCAGGCTTCTGGAACAAAAAGGTACCATCATATCCACTCAGGTAGCCAGCAAGACCTATCAGCATCTGAGGAGAGAAGAACAAACAAAAAGATGAGAAGCCTTTGGGAGAAGATTCCTCTGTCCTCTGAACTTCCCTCCAGCTGCACCCACAGACTTTGGCTTCCCTTGACAACCGTCCATAGAAAAAGCTGCCGATGTGACATTTTCTCCTGCAGCTGCCACAGAGCAAAGAATCTTTTGTCTATAGAGTTCACTGCTTCAAACAAATCCTCTCTTGTATTATGGCCGAGTTCTGGGAATGGCGCAGCCTAAACACTTAGGAAGGAAAAAGAGCTCCAATTTGAAGGGCAGAGTCAGTAAGGGGCTCTCTTATTCCCCTTTCTTTCAGACGGTTTAAAATAAAACACGGCAGCTCTTGGGTCATGGGCAGGGGCTGGTTCCTGGGAAACTGGCCTTTTGAAAGGCAAGTGAGGTTCCGAGTTACGATGAGGGAGAAAAGGGACCAAGGAGCTACACACCAGGAATAGAGACAAGGGAAGACTATCGGAAAGACGAATGTAAAGACAGACGCATTTGCCAGGAGGGGAGGAGAAAAACTGCCAAAGGACAGAGGCTGCTTTCTCCTATTCCTAACATTCCAAAGGAGGGCAACCTTGGTGCCTCCCAAACCAGAACAAATCAACTATAAACTGAGACTGTGAGTCATGAATCCATCAAAACCTTTGAGAAGATCGGCTGTTTCTTTTGTATATTTCCTTGGCCATCAATCTTGTAAAATTCTATTTTTCACACAAGCCACCAGAGGCAGCTGAAGTATAAAAACTGCCGGCAAATGCCAACCATCTGGGACAGCCCCAGGCTGCTCCAGCATGACCCCCGGGCTCTGGTGGGCTGTGTGGAGCGGGGAATACACTGGCTGTGTGGGGAAAGTCCCTCCTAGCCACACTTGAGGGACTTGGATTTGGATCACTAACCAACCCACTTTTTTCTCTATGTAGTTCTAAACAAAGCCACTCTCTACAGTTCCAGGTCAAGATATAGAAGCTGAAGTTTGGCAGTAAAAGACCACAAAGACTTGTTTTTCAAAAGGAATGGGGGAACCCCAGGGTCCAGATGAACTAAAGCTGCCAGCTGGCAATGAAATGAATCCCTCTTCCCACCTGGGATCTTGGAGGACAAGCTTGCCTAGTGCTGGTCACACATTTCCAGTCTGCTTGGCTGGTCTGGAGTGAAGAAATGCACAGATGTCTTAGATCTCGGTACCCTACCTTCTAGCTCTCTGATCACGAACAATACTTAATATCACTCAGCTATAGGTCATAAAAACTTCCTCACAGGGGGTGTGAGGGTTAGAGGTGACGCAATTAAGAGAACACCTAACACTATACCAAGCACTTAGCAGACACTCAAAGTTCAGTTCTCTCTCAGTCCCCTTAAGGTTAAAAGGAGCCCCAAGTTAATTTCTTAAATGACTCTTTCAAATCAATAGAAAAAATGAATAACTTATCAGAAGAAATGGCAAATTCATAAAAAACAAAATGCAAATGACTAACAAACATATGAAAAAATGTTCGACCTAACTCATAAAACCACGCAAATGAAAACATACTTTAAGAACTTTGTCAATTGGAGACATCATTTTTTACTCTCCAACTGACAAAAGTTTTTCATGTATGATCATACCAGTGCTGGCAATGATGTGGGGAAGGAAGCATAATCATACACTGTTGGTGAGACTATATATTATTACATTTTTCAGAAAAACTTACCTATAACACACACAATTTTAAATGTGCATATTCTTTGATTCTTTTAGCTTGACTGCTGGGAGTTTTTCAGATATACCTGTACAAATATGCAATGATATATGCACAAGGATGCTCACTGCAATATCTTTTGTAATGGCTAAAAACTAGAAATAACATACATGCTGCCCACCAACTGAAAAGAGGGGTGAAATACTTACGGCACATCTATGTAACGGAATGACACACGGCCATGAAAAAGAATCAAGCGCATCTTTACGTGCAAATGTGGAAAGAAGACAGATCACATTTCAAATACGAGTTGCTAAGCCATTGTAGTCTTATCCCATGTGAGTTTTTAAAAAGGATTGTGTGTATATATACTGTACTGTTCACATGTACATATATAAAAACAGACACACTTTATTTGTATTAAAAAATTCCTAGAGGAATAAAAGAAACTATTGACAAAGATGACTGTGGTTACCTCTGAAGACTAGAAATGTGGTGGCGGAGGCTTCTGACCTTGTACTTCCTTCTGTGCTGACCACATTTTCTACTATGTGCAGGCTTTTTTATTTTATAAGTTCCTGTTGGACTGGAGCCACCAGGTTACCAGGGCTGGGGGCCAATGTGAAGTAGCAGGTCTCAGCCTTAGTAGCAAAGGAGAAAACTTCCTGCTTGCCACTGGGAAGGGCTTTTGATTCCTTGACTGCCTCAGAACCTGCAGAAGCTACTATGCCCACTCACGGGTTTCCAGTTTGCTCATCACTCTCTTTCAACCAGACAGAACGCAGAACCATCAGGAGATGAATTAGGGGTGCAGATGGGCCACACTCCCTGGGAGCAGCATTAGAAGCCTCACACTTCTCCCTTCACACGGGCAACTGGATGTGAGGAAGGCAAGGCTTAGGTAAATTATTATTATTTTGCTCTGTCACCCAGGCTGGAGTGCACTGGCATAATCTTGGCTCACTGCAGCCTCCACCTCCCAGGTTCAAGCCATTCTCCTGCCTCAGCCTCCCAAGTAACTGGGACTACAGACACATACCACCACACCTGGCTAATTTTTGTGTTTTTACTAGAGACGGGGTGTCACCATGTTGGCCAGGCTGGTCTCGAACTCCTGACCTCAGGTGATCCACCTGCCTCAGCCTCTCAAAGTGCTGGGATTAGAGGCGTGAGCCACCGTGCCGAGCCTAAGGCTTAGGTAAATTAAACCAATCAGCCAGTCCTGTGTACATGTCCACATGCACTGAGCACTGAGAAACTCCAAAAGAGAAGGGGCAGTCCCCAGGAGAAAGACTGGGCTGGGTTTCCTACGAAAAATCTTCATCAGAGGTCTGGTTCACAGGCTAGCTCCATGCAAATACTCAACACATTCTGTTGCTTAATTTTATGGTAGTAACAGATGGAGTCTGAGGAGTGAGCCAAGGCAAGTTTGCAAGGAAATGTGGTGTCATGATTAAGACAGCAAGCTCTGTGCCAGTCTCAACCTTGAGTCTGCCACTTACTAGCTTGGCTCCCTATGGCAAACTACTAACCTTGCTTCAGTTCCCCATCTGTAAAATGGGGATGCAACAATACCTACTTTATAAGGTTGTTCTGAGGCTTACAAGAGATATTGACTCTAAAGTGACTAGAACAGACTAAATGTTTTTAATGGCTCTTCTTTCTATTGTCGTTATAGTGTAAAATAAGACAGGAAGAGGCATAATACCTTCTACACTTTTCCTGGGCTCAGAGCCAATTCTGAAATAGGCTACCTGTTCTACCTCCCTCTCCAACCCTCCCCGCTATAGGGCCCCCTGCTCTCATGTTTCCTTAAGCGCACCTATAGGTGATTTTCCTGATGTTTGATAAAAGACTACTATCATTGCCTCCTCCTGCCTTCCCTGCTCCCACCTTTATCCCCAAGTGCCACATGCTCCAAGATCACTCCCCACTTCATCACAGGAAAATTCCTGGCCCCTTGGTGCCCAAGATCTAAGTCTCCAGTTAGGAAGAAAAACTTGAGTGAATTCCAGGGCTAATCCAACAGCCTTCTCAGAGGTTTTCACTTTTAAAAGAGTAAAACGAGCCTGGTGCAGTGGCTGACATCTGTAATCCCAGCACTTTGGGAGGCTGAGGCAGGTGGATCACCTGAGGTCAGGAGCTTGAGACCAGCCTGGCCAACATGGTGAAACGCTGTCTCCACTAAAAATACAAAAATTAGCCAGGCATGTTGGTAGGTACCTGTAATCCCAGCTACTTGGGAGGCTGAGGCAGGAGAATCGCTTGAACCTGGGAGGTAGAAGTTGCAGTGAGCCGAAATCATGCCACTGTACTCTGGCCTGGGTGGCAAGAGTGAAACTGGTCTCAAACAAACAAACAAACAAAAAAGAGTAAAATGAATTCGAATTGGTGGAATTTCTAATGGTAAAACGTGAAAAAAACAAATCAAACAATGTGTATCCTGGGCATGGAAAGGGAGAAAAAAGTCAGCCCATGTAGACATCAGCCCCCTAAGCTATTTCTGCTTCATGCAATGTATTCCTATCTCTTTTTTAAAACTGAGACAAATTCACATAACATCTACCATTTTAAAGCATGCAATGGGTGGTTTTAAATATATTCACAAGATTGTACAATCATTACCACTAATTCCATAACATGTCATCACCCCAAGAAGAATCCCCCTACCCATTTGCAGACATGTCCTCCCCTGAGATCCTAGCAACCGCTAATCTACTTAGTGTCTCTGTGGATTTGTCAGTTCTAGATAGTCCATACAAGTGGGATCATAGGGTATGTAACCTTTTGTGTCTGGCTTCTTCCATTTAGCATAATGTTTTCCAGGTTCATCCATGTTACAGCACGTATCAGAACTTCATCCCTTTTTAAGGCCCAATATTACCCACCATATGGCTGTGCCACATTTTGTTGATCCCTCCCTCAGCTGATGGGTCCTCTATCCATTTCTGAGCCCAGAGGACTCTTAAAAAACACCAAAGATTTTCCATGAAAGTAGCTGGTCTGAAATGTCAGAAAATTCTTTTTGCAAGTCCCAGAATTAAATCCAAAATCAAGATGTGGCTCCCGCCCTCAGGACCAATCCTCCAGTACCAGAGAGCTGCTGTTCACCACACTGCTCACCTTTCCCAGAGGCGGGTGCACATCAAAGAAAAACGTGCGGTTGATATAGTAACTTCCCATTTTTCCAAAGTGAGTCTCATCCCAACTAAAGGAAACACAGAAAGAGAAACAGGAATTGTAAAATTATCATAAAATCCAAATGGCCTTAATAAAGCATGGTTAAAATTAAAGGCTATGCATTTCAAATAATTAATGAAAAAGTTTGGATTTTTTTTTTTAAGAAAAGCTTTTGACACAAGTGATTTGAAGAAGACAGACATCAAGCTGGCCACTGGTCTTCATTCAGATAGATGAGAAAGGTGAGCAAGTAGACACCAGCTAGTTACCAATTGAGTTAAATACACATATACTTACTCTGTATCTTGAGTTTCTATTTATTTTAAAATGGCAAAAAGTTTTCCCATAAGATGGAAAGGCTTGTAGCGAGAGTTTTCTTCTTATCCCCAAGTAGCTAGTGTAAACACTGCAATATCTTTTGTAATGGCTAAAAATTGGCTAGTGTAAACAAAAATTTAAATTTAAAAAAATTCTGCCAAGTCCGTTAACTTCTAGGACAACATTTGCTATTAGAAGGTCCACTACTGCCGGGCGCGGTGGCTCAAGCCTGTCATCCCAGCACTTTGGGAGGCCGAGGCGGGTGGATCACGAGGTCGAGAGATCGAGACCAACCTGGTCAACATGGTGAAACCCCGTCTCTACTAAAAATACAAAAAATTAGCTGGGCGTGGTGGCACGTGCCTGTAATCCCAGCTACTCAGGAGGCTTAGGCAGGAGAATTGCCTGAGCCCAGGAGGCGGAGGTTGCGGTGAGCCGAGATCGCGCCATTGCACTCCAGCCTGGGTAACAAGAGCGAAACTCCGTCTCAAAAAAAAAAAAAAAAAAAGAAGGTCCACTACTACATTGTTGAACTTCTGGTCAGAGTTGAGACTATCAACATGATTGTCACAGGAGTCTCATTTTGCTCAGCGACTCTGTGACAAGTAACCTGCTATGATCTGACTGATCTTATACTAACTAGTATATAAAAACTGAGGGTTTTCTTTTTTTTTTCTTTTTGAGACGTAGTTTCGCTCTTGTTACCCAGGCTGGAGTGCAATGGCGCGATCTCGGCTCACCGCAACCTCCGCCTCCTGGGCTCAGGCAATTCTCCTGCCTCAGCCTCCTAAGTAGCTGGGATTACAGGCACGCGCCACCACGCCCAGCTAGTTTTTTGTATTTTTAGTAGAGACGGGGTTTCACCATGTTGACCAGGATGGTCTCAATCTCTCAACCTCATGATCCACCCGCCTCGGCCTCCCAAAGTGCTGGGATTACAGGCTTGAGCCACCACACCCGGCAAAAACTGAGGGTTTTCTTACTAATTTAAAACCATATCTAAAACCTATCCTCAGTGCTTAAGTTATTTGCAAGTAAATAAGCAATTTGAATAAATAAGCTTTCAAACACAACGTAAAGTCGTCTTCTATACAATCACATACAACTTTCTACACCATGCATGAGGGCTTTAGGAAGGCAGCCAAGTCACCCAGCAGAGCCTGGCCATTTCTATTCATTATTTTCTCCCTGTAGCTCCAAAGAAGGGTTACTTTCCAGTTGTCATCAATCCCCAGGTCATGAGCAGTCATTACTGACCAACTACATAACAGGCAAAACATGCTTTACCCAAAAATCTAGGGTTCTTTTTATATCTTACTCGGTGAGTCCAAGATGAGGCAGAAAAATAAGTCTATTTCTGCATCTGCTAAACACACTGCTTGACATGCAGTGAGGACAATGGCATGGTAAGGTCAAAGAGAAAAATAACTTCAAAGCAATATAACAAAATTGATTTGCAGAGTGGTCCAGTCCTGGCTCCACCACTAACTAAAGGCACAACCTAGCAAAAGTCACTCACTCTCTCTACTCCTCTTATCTCATCTACAAAATGAAGACAATACCTGTGCACCTCCCAGGGAAGTCTTAGGGCTCACCTCAGATAACACATGTGAAAGAATTCTGTAGACTATAAAGCACCATACCTGAGGGACCCTATTTAAACTGTCCTGACATTTATGGTTAGTTTTTAAATCTGTTTGGGAACATACTAACAAAAGTGTTCCAGTTTTTTGTTTTTTTTGGGTTTTTTTTTTTGAGACTGAGTTCGCTCTTGTTGCCCAGGCTGCAGTGCAGTGATGCAATCTCAGCTCACTACAACCTCCACCTCCTGGATTCAAGCAATTCTCCTGCCTCAGCCTCCCAAATAGCTGGGACTACAGGCGCATGCCACCACACCTGTTGTATATTTTTAGTAGTGACAGGGTTTTATCATGTTGGCCAGGCTGGTCTCACACTCCTGACCTCAGGTGAGCCACCTGCCTTGGCCTTCCAAAGTGCTAGGATTACAGGTGTGAACCACAGCACCTGGCCTGAGCTCCAGACTCCACTTCAAAAGTTTCCCAAGTAAAGGCAGTTGTGACATTCATATTTCCTCCAGGCTTTTATTGCTTGTGTTAGGAGAGACCGTCCTCCATGGCTCCCTTGTGCTCCTCCAGGCCTTGCAGGGTGTGCCAAGAATGCAATGCCCTGATTCATCTTTCCCGAGGTCATTTCTAAGGGCTATGTTTGCCATGAACATAACCCTTAGGGAAGAGTCTGTGCCTCTCTCTGAGACAGAGGGCTGTCTTGCTTACTGCTTGCTATAAAAAAGCAGATTCCCAAGCTTAATATACTCAGCTGTGATGCAACCTACTGCCTGTGCAAGCTTTCATCCAGTCCCACAGCACCACCTGGGACTTAGGGGGCAGAGGAAACTGATGCCAACATGCTGATGCACATCTCACTCGCTGTGCCATGAGAAAGAGTCCTCTGTCTCTGACCCAAGATTTTGTCTTCTGTCGGCATGCAAAAAACAGTAACAGGCTAATTTATTAGCTTATAAGTAGGCTAAGATAAAATCTCAGCCCCTGACAGCATGGGGACAAGCACAGGATGAGGAGAGACATAGTCTTCTGGAAGAGAAAGAATGAGGGCCTCCACAGGCTGGCAATGGGGGTAGTGAGAGTTCCCCACGTCCCACCTATTAGAGAAGCTGATGGCAAGAGGCAGGATTGAAAAAAGCCATTGAATGTCACCTTGGTTATTGCCCATCCTCTGGGCAAAAGGAGGAAGAGGTGTGACTGTGAAAATGGCAGCAAGCCCAGCAGCCCCTGCTGAAAGGCAATATGGATGTGGCTGCTGAATCAAGAAGTCTCCAATGCTTCCACAAATGGTGCGGCAATAGGACCCTGCTATATAAGCTAGAACTCTGAGTAAAATGAGAACACTGAAAGATCCTTGGGTGAGCTGTGTACTCAAGCCAAAAGTAAATATAAATATGCCTTGCTTTCTGGCTCTGAGCCACTCTCTCCCTTTATGGCTCACGATCCCTCCCACTCTACCACAACCTCAGCTGCTTTAAAGACTGCGATGATTAAAGGTTGGGCTGAGGTCCCTATGTCTCTAAAGGGGACTGAAGGGCATGCACACCCATCCTGGTATGCTGGAGAGCCCCAGGGAGGAGAGAGACAAACTCAGGGCTCTGCTGGATGCGAGGTCCCTTATCTCCACCCTACCTGGTCACATGGTGGGAGGATGTACTAGGCATAGAGGTTACCACAGGCACTGAGGACTGCAGGGAGAGCTGTAGTAGTGTGCACAAGGACTAAAGGGAAATGGGCCCCTAAGCCCTGGGGGAGCGACACTGGGGAGACAGTGGCGCCAAGCCTAGTGAAGAGCTACAGGAGGAAAAGAAGCTTCTCCCTACTCCCTGCAGCCAGCACTGCCACACTCTCCAACTGGGGAAATGGCAAAATCTCTAGCTGGCTGTCACCATAGCCCCTGATGCAGGCCTACTAGACACATTAGTTCAAGGTGGGAAAAGTGTCCAAATTAAACTGATAAAGTTTGAGCCATGCTCCCTGTAGGGAAGGGAAGTTAAAGTGACATTGCAGGCAGGGCTCTTTGGGCCTGTTCAGTGTACTATTCCAGTGGCTTCCAGTGCTAAATATATGGCTGATACTGATCACATAAGTGTCAAATAGGATTATCCTGTGCAAGGGCTGCTGTGTGTAGACAGGTGATCCTGTCCTCTCCTGGTGGTCCAGAGGAAAAAAATCTACATCCCTGGAAGGGAAGGGAAATAAATCACAAGTTTAAAAACTTCATGGCTGCTGGAGTACCGAGAGCCACGAACCAGAATCACAGTGCCACCTGCTGGACACAGGTACCAAGCACACCCTTTTTAAAAGGGCAGCTATTAACCTCTTACCAGTCAACATTTAGAAATTGATTGCCTGATCCATACAGGCCTCAGGACTCCCAGCCCTAGTATTCCTACTTTGGGGTGGATAAGTGGGAATCTACTGATAACAAGGGAAGGGTTTAACAAGGCTCACTGATCCTATGGAAATGGTATATTCAAGAGTACAGCTGGTAATCCCAGCTATCCAGGAGGCTGAGCCAGTTGGATGGCTTGAGGCCAGGAGTTCTAGACCAGCCCGGGGAGCATGGTGAGAACTCGTCTCTTCAAAAATCTGTTTTAATTAGCTGGATGTGATGGCACATGCCTGTAGTGCCAGCTACTCAGAAGGCTGAGGCAAGAGGAGCCCAGGAGTTTGAGGCTACAGTGAGCTACGATTGTACCACTGCACTCCAGCCTGGGCAACAGAGTGTCAGACCTCATCTCTTAAAAAAAAAAAAGAGTATAGCCAGGCTGGCCCTAGAGGCATCTTAGTTTTACATGAAGAAGTGGTAGCTCCCACTTTAGGAGAAACAACCTTCTCCACTCCCTGAAGCTGAGCTGCTGGTTTAATAGGGCCCTTGATTCACAGAAGTTCCTCAAAATGTTTAGGCCTGGTTCACCAGTGATTAGGCTGCATTAAAAGCTGATGTGGCCCACCAGACAGCACCAGTCATTTAGTCCCAGTGACAACTCCAGATGGCTGACAGCAGTAAGGGTTGAAGCATTTGGTATGCCACTTGGAAGACTAAATACTGAGAGATGAACACTGAGAAGTGTGGAAACACATCATGGCTGCCTGCCAGTGGGACACACTGGACCACTCATGTAGGTGCCCACACTAAGGACGGGTACTCTGATAAGACTGACTGGAATCAAACTGCTGATCATGCCTGCACCACTGAGACTGCTGCTATAGCCACCCGGATTCATGCAACAGGTGTGGAAACATCTACCCTCGTGGACTAGGCACAATGTATGGGACTACATGTTTCTGAGACAGAAGCCACCACTGCATGCCAGACTTGTGACACCTGCCAAAAGTTGGCCTGCTGGTCTTGCAATAAAGGAAACCACGTTGCAAGGGGCACTGACCCCACCTGCTCCTGGGAGACTGACATTAGGACTTTGTTCCCTTCTCCAGGCTATCATCAGTACCTTGCTACTGCTGATACTTTTTCAGATGACAGTGTTGATGCTGCTTTTCCAGTCCAATCATCTGACTCTGTGTATACCACTGTGGCCTGTGAAATTAAACTCTGCTGGCTGAGCACGGTGGCTCATGCCTGTAATCCCTGCACTTTGGGAGGCCAAGGTGGGAGGATCACCTGAGGCCAGGAGTTCGAGACCAGCCTAGCCAACGTGATGAAACCCTGTCTTTTTTTAATTAAAAAAATAATTTTTTAAAAAAAAAAGAAAGAAGGAAAAAAAAAAAAGAAAGAAACTAAACTCTGCCAGGTTTTCTGCTTTCCAAGCCATCTACAGTCTGACGTTGGCATACCTTTTTGTCACAATGGCCACCCAACCATGTCAACAGTCAATAGCCAAGGTGTTCGATGGACATCCCACACTCCCTACCATCCACAGGCATGATATTGTCAAGTACTGAATAGTTCCCTCAAAGATAACTCAAAAGATGTTTGATTCTATGTTTTTAACCTCCTCCTGCTCTACACACCTTAGTGAAGCAGTTTGGTCACCTAAGGCAGCCATTCTCAGAAAGGGTTCATCTCCTTTTGGCTACCAACTGTATAATGATTAAAAAAAAAAAAAAAAAAAAAAAAAAAAAAAGGGCGGGAGGGAGTGGTATAAAAACCTATTTTGAAAATTTAAGAATCTCCCCTGATCATTTCTAGCCATGATTCATCTTTCTTTCCCCTTGCAGAAAGCCCAGATCAGCTGGAAGGAGAAGGGTGTCTACGTAAGTCAGACTTAACTCTAGTTCAGTCACTAGATTGTCTTGTTGGAATGGCCTGGTGCTAGAGCATAAAGTTAATGATCATTTGGTTGGGTACAGTGCTTTTAAAGTCACCCTACAGTGGCCCACATGTGTCAAGGTAGAAGACATAACGCGCCTCTGTCAATTTTCTCGCAATGTCCTTGGATATTAAAAGGTCTGGATTGGATACTGGTAGAGGATAAATAAAGAAAAGGTGAAGTTATAGGTACCAGGGCAGGACATAATAATTATGTAGAAATGAAAGGAAAGAAACAATCCTGGCCTCTAGGGAAGGAACACCTTAGTCCCCTGAAGATGTAAAGAGAAGGGAAACAGTGTTCTCTTTGACCCCTAGGCCCAGTACCAAAGCCTGGCAAACATTCACAGGGTCCACTTAAGTCAAGCAGCAACTGTAGCCGGCAATCTGACCTGGGGCTGAGTTTGGCACTGCACTATGAAAACAGCAAAGCTTTATCTAGTAGGTCAGTACGAAAAAGAAAAAAGAAAACAAAAACTCATGTAGACATGGCCAGTCTCGAACTGTTCCCATGTGCCTGATGACATCAACACCAACTCCCAACTCCCAAACACAGACCTCCCTCATAGATGTGCAAACCTAGGATCAGCACAACCTTCTGTCAGTGTGGCTGACAGAAATCACGTGCTTCTCCCGAGATCCGAGGGGCCTTATATAGGTTATGCCTCGTCTCGTGATTGAGGCTGCAACTATTCAGTGACACTGCCCATGTGGTTTAAACCACTGTAATAGTAATCAAATTTGATGGTGATCCAAATAAAAATCTAACAAAAAACCTTGGAGCGGTCTGCACTCCTTCAAGTAATGTTAGTGTGTAAGGAAGAATGGGTCACAAAATATCTTTCCATTAAATCAAGGTAGTTCCTTTTTTTTTTTTTTTTTTTTTTTTTAATGAGATGGAGCCTCACTTGTTGCCCAGGCTGGAGTGCAATGGCGCCATCTCAGCTCACTGCAACCTCTACCACCCAAATTCAAGTGATTCTCCCACCCCAGCCTCCCTAGTAGCTAGCATTACAGGAACCTGCCATCATGCCCAGGTAATTTTTGTATTTTTAGTTGAGACAGGGTTTCTCCAAGTCGGCCAAGCTTGTCTCTAACTCCTGAGCTCAAGTGATCCACCACCTCAGCCTCTCAAAGTCCTCGGATTACAGGTATGAGCCACCATGCCCGGCCTGGTAGTTACTTTTTAAAAAAATTTTTACAAGGGTAGGGGGATATTGCAATTACTGGTAATGACACCAAAGATCAGAGATCAAGCTGAACTCCAGTGCAAAGGTCGCAGTGGTTAATAGACAGGTCTTACACTGCAGCCCCACTGTCTGAAATAAGATTCCTAGGTGCCCCCAGGACTTATTCACAAATGGCTGAATCCAGGACACTAGAGAGCATGGTTGAGGTAAATACTGTAGGCCGGCCTTATTCTGCTGCTTAGAGTCCCACTGACAACAACCTTAATTAAATGCTGTAAGGGACAAATTGAAAAGATTTGGTCCCTGCCTCTGTCAGCCAGGTTAATCCCAGTAGCCAAGGGAGTTGCATAGTCTTGTGAAAATCTGCTAGAAGCCAAGACTGTAGAATCCAGGGGTCAGAGAGGCTATTAGATTGCTCATACATCTACACATCATTCTGGGTATACTAAGAATGCAAGGCTCTGACTACATTTCACCTGGGCCATTTCTCAGGGTTGTGTCTGCAGCAAGCAACCTTGAGAAGAGGTAGTGTCTCCCTCCAAGACAAAGAGGAGGTCTGGTACTGCCTTCTATAAAACAGATTTCCCAAGCCTGTCGTTCCTTCACTTGGATGCAACCCACTGCCTGTGCAGTCATCCATTTGAGCCCATAGTGTCACCCTGTGGGAGTTGGATCGCAAGGGAAACTGCTTCTAACATGCATCCTATTTCCTGTAATAAAGTCCTCTGTCTCTAATCCAGCAGTCACGACACAATAACAGGCTAATTTATTAAATTCTAAATAAGGCAAGTCTGACAGTCTGTTTTCTTGCTTGTTATTTGCTCAAAGTTCCATTTCTGACACCCAGTAACTGGACAGTACAAACTAAAACCTTTTAGAAAACAAATCTCTTCTCACAGGAAGAGTTCTGTCTCTTAAAATCTTTTGTCACGGCCGGGTGCGGTGGCTCAAGCCTGTAATCCCAGCACTTTGGGAGGCCGAGGAGGGTGGATCACGAAGTCAAGAGATCGAGACCATCCTGGTCAACATGGTGAAACCCCGTCTCTACTAAAAAAATACAAAAAATTAGCTGGGCATGGTGGTGCGTGCCTGTAATCCCAGCTACTCAGGAGGCTGAGGCAGGAGAATTGCTTGAACCCAGGAGGCGGAGGTTGTGGTGAGCCAAGACCGCACCATTGCACTCCAGCCTGGGTAACAAGAGTGAAACTCAGTCTTTAAAAAAAAAAAAAAAAAAAAAAAAAAAAATCTTTTGTCACTATACCTGAACACCTAAACTGGCCTTGCCCTATAGGATAAAGGTACACAGTTAGGTATTTCCCCTTTCTGTTGATGCCTGAAAATCCTGCAGATATACCAACTCAGGCCTTAGAAAATTCTGTACCCACGAATTTGCAATTCTCTTTGGAAAGTTTAAAGCACCTTTAAAAGCCACAGTTTGAAAGCCAGGTGAGGCACTGCAGCATAACCTGGAAGTCATGACAGCTGTTTCCTCTGATACCAAGCCTCCCACTGCCCACCCCACCACCAGGGCAAACCGATCCCGCTCCCAGAGACTGCACCTCGTCAGAGCCCAACCCACTCGATACTTCAAATTCCCCTCTACCGCGGCCACACCCCTCCTAGTAAATCCCGCCCCCTCCGTGCCCTCGGGCCAATCAGAGGGCGGCGTCCGTTCCCGGTTGCCATGGGTGCCCGCCGAGTCCATCCCGTCACTCACCAGATGTGCGGCGGCTCGTCTAGGCGATGGAAGCGGGTGGCGAAGGACAGCAGCGTCACCAGGGCCAGCAGGGCCCACCGGCTAGCCGTCTCGAAGCGCCGCGAGCCCCGAGCAGGCCGTTTGGGGTTTCGCGCCGCAGCCGTGGCGGCCACGTCCCAGCCCGCGGCCCTAGCAGCCTGGTGCCCACAGCGGCCCCTCCGGGGACGCAGCTCGGACTCTGCCAGGCCTCCGCCCGTGGCCGGTGGCATCTTCCCCCTCCTTCGGATCGCCCTCCGGACCGGAGGCACACTCTGTCGGACCAGCCTCCCCGCCAAGGGGCCACAGGAGGGCAGTTCGGGTTACCCCGGAAAATGCAGCTCCCTCCGCCAGCGGCGGAGCGCGGGGCCCGGCGCTCGGGGCGGGGCGGGCAGCGTGGTCGCGGCCCGGGCCGGTAGGAGGCGGCTAGAGTCGCAGAGCATGTCGGGATCGGGAGGGCCGGCCGGCCCGGGGGAACGGGGCAGGAGGGAACGGACTCAGGGAACTGCAATTCCCAGCAGCCCCAGGGCACGGGGCATGGCGGGAGGGCTGGGCAAGCCAGAGGCGACCGGAAGGCTCATTCTAGTCCAGCTTCTCGCTTTACCCGGACGAAAGCCACGAGCCTAACTCGAGTCTCACTGGGCCTTAGTCGTCGGAGAGTCCCAGGCGCGAAGTTTCACGGCCTGGAGGAGGGGTCGCACGAAGTGCCAGATGCAGGCTGGGAAGGTCTGTGCTGCGCACCCGGGTGGAGGGAAACTGGTTAAACACCCGGAGACCCCGGGGGGGGATGGGTCAGAGGTGAACTGCTCCGCCCTCCCGGCGCCGACAACCACTCCCGGCGTGCAGTGCGCCACGCCGGGCATGCTCTGCGCCTGCGCGTTGCGCGCTGCACCTGGGGCTCGTAGTCCCGGGAGGGTTGGGCCAGAGGTGGCGACTCTGGTGTGGCTTTCGGAGTAGGGGGCAGTCGCTGTCCCGTCGCGCTTCACTGCTGCCCCGCCCTCCGTGCTCCCCGTAATAGACTCCTCCACTAGGGCTTGCAAATGTCGCCCCAAGCCTCCCAGTTTCTCGCACCCCTTCATGCTCCTCTCGGCCCTAGCAGAAGATGGCCTTCCAGTATGTATTTTAAGAGTCCTCGAGGGAGGAGAGGCAGTCATGACAATCACCTGGGGAGCTTCACGGCTTTCACATGCTCTTCCCAGGGCCCGGTCCCAAGACGCTCCGTTCATCTCTGGTGTAAGGGACCCGAGAATCTGTATGTTTTTACAAGCGGCCCAGATGGGTCTTATGCGCCTTAAAGTTTTGTGGCACAAAGGAAGGTGGCACATCAGATGGGACTTTGCGTCATGTAAATAATGTATAGTCCTTCCTCTTCCAAATGGGATTTTAGGAGTTTTTCTCAAGTCGTGTGTAAGACATGGTTTAAAAATAAAATGTGCTAAAGTAATCAGAATGCATATTTGAGTTGGAAACAGAAGTCTTCCAGGAGTATTGACGAGATGGATACTTGGGCTTAAAATTTAGCTCTACAAGTGCAGAAAGGAACAGGGGATGGTTTACATAGTTATCACTGGTAAGAGAAAGCAGAAATTGCCTAAGAGATTTCAGGTTTCCTGATTGTGGGTCGTGATGGAGGGCAGCGGTCACTCGTAGTACAGATCCAAAGGTGTAACATTAGAATGCCTTTAGGTAAGGCATTCTTCAGGGATTCTAAGCTAATTAATGTCTGCCACTCTCTAGTGGTCACTAGCAGTCCCTGTCCCTTAGCCCCAGGGGTCCCTGTAGCCTGGCTAAGTAAGGAAAGGGGGCTGCATCTCCAAATAAGGAAGATCCAGTTGTGGCCACCCAACTCCTCCTCTTTGAAAGACCCTTTCGGCCCATCACCTGCTTTCTGTGCCAGGAGCATCTTTACTTTCTCCGCAGAAGTTGCCTTCAGGACAGCCTGGGACTCCTGGGCTTGAGAACCACCTTGGAAGGGCCTAGATTCCCCCTTGTACCCTTGACCATCTAGCAGACTGAGTTGGTAGTACAGAGATGGTGAAAGCAGTTTCACTGAGCAGCTTAATGTGCTGGGGGTGGCAGAGGGGAGAGGGAGCTTTGGTGAAATGTCTGTAGTCAGAGGGGTAGTAAACAGGGGATCTGAGAAATTCTGTCAAGTTCTTCCCCATCCATAGGGATATATGTGTGTTGGTGGGAAGATTCATGAGTGCTGACCACTTCTTGGGCTCCACTTTGAAATGCTGGCTACCCAAGAAGTACCAGAAAAATTAGCTTTAAGGCCCTTAAACTTTGGAATAGAGACCGAATACCCAGCTGCCCCCAGGAGCCCAAAAGTAATAAAAATGAGAAGAATGGGTCAGATATGGGCTATAGAGACCTGAGAGGGAATACCCTGGCCTGTTCCCCTCAATTGCCGTATTTAGGAACCCAAATCTACTGTCTCCAGACTTTTTTTTTTTTTTTTTTGAGATTGAGTCTCACTCTGTCACCCAGGCTGGAGTACAGTAGCACAATTTTGGCTTACTACAGACTCTGCCTCCTGGGTTGGAGCAATTCTCCTGCCTCAGCCTCCCAAGTAGCTGGGGTTACAGCTGTGCGCCACCACGCCCGGCTAATTTTGGTATTTTTAGTAGAGACGGGGTTTCACCATGGTGGCCAGGCTGGTCTTGAACTCCTGTCCTCAGGTGATCCACCCACCTTGGCCTCCCAGAGTGCTGGGATTACAGGTATGAGCCACCTCTGTATTACCAACTCAGTCTGCTAGATGGTCAAGGGTACAAGGGGGAATCTAGGCCCTTCCAAGATGGTTCTCAAGCCCAGGAGTCCCAGGATGTCCTGAAGGCAACTTCTGCAGAGAAAGTAAAGATGGTCCTGGCACAGAAAGCAGGTGATGGGCCGAAAGAGTCTTTCAAAGAGGAGGAGTTGGGTGGCCACAACTGGATCTTCCTTATGCCCAGCCTGTCTCCAGATTTTTAAAGAAAAAAACAAACAGGTGTTGTATATAAAATGTCATGATTTTTTTTAACTTTATTTATTTATTTATTTTGAGATGGAGTCTTGCTCTGTTCCCCAGGCTGGGGGGTAGTGGCACAGTCTTGGCTCACTGTAACCTCCACCTCCTGGGTTCAAGTGATTCTCATGCCTCAGCCTCCTGAGTAGCTGGGACTACAGGCGCATGCCACCATGCATGGCTGATTCTTGTATTTTCAGTAGAGATGAGTTTTGCCATCTTGGCCAGGCTGCACTAAAACATTTTAAACTACTGTGTTGAGCAGACAGAAATTCTGAGGGCCAGGTAGGTCCCCAGTGTACTGCCAGCTTGTGACCTCACCTTTGGGGTAAGTGAGCATATCTGCTAGCTGTTTTGATGGAGCCAGCTGAGATCCTGGAGGACTGCTAGGGGGTGGGGTTGAAGGAGATAGGCACCAAAGCATAAAAAAATTAGAATTTCTGGTCTTTCTGCACTGCTAGAAGGAATCCCTGCCATCATTTTAATGCAACTCTTTGTTTTACAAGCCAAAGATTAGAGGCAGAGGCTTGTCCAAGGTCATGCAGAGCTGGTTCCTGTACCAGGTCCAGGCTCCAAATGCCAGCTCACAGCCCACACTACCATTCAAACCACTGCATCAAAACCAGGCCACACTCTGTGCCCAGAACACCAAACCTGGCCCCAGCAGGAGCATAAGAAACTTCCTGCAAGTTGGAAACAAATGCCCTTTCTTTTGTTTTTGTTTTTGTTTTTGTTTTTGTTTGAGATGGAGTCCTGCTGTGTCACCCAGGCTGGAGTGCAGTGGTGTGATCTTGGCTTACTGCAACCTCCACCTCCCAGGTTCAAGCTATTCTCCTGCCTCAGCCTCCTGAATAGTTGGGATTACAGGCGCCCACTACCATGCCCAGTTGATTTTTTTGTTTGTTTGTTTGTTTGTTTTTTGTATTTTCAGTAGAGACAGAGTTTCACCATGTTGGGCTGGTCTCAAACTCCAGACCTCAAGTGATCCTCCCATCTTGGCCTCCCAGAGTGTTAGGATTACAGGCGTGAGCCACTGTGCCTGGCCAGAAATGCCCTTTCTGACCAGAGTCAAAGTTCACCCAACTCCTGGGCAGTCCAGCTTTCTCATTGGCTCCTGAAATCCACGCCTTTAGGTTTCCTTTCCCTGCTCAGAAGCTCTGCCAGAGGGGACATTCCCTGGAAGGCTGAGGGTCACCACACACCATGACCGAGTCTGGCAAGGTAAGGAAGGCACTCGCAGGCTAGCTGCCGCTTTGGGAGCCTCTTGGACCTCGGGAGCTCAAACCAGCACAATTTTGGAGCCAAGGGACCTCACAAGACTGTCAGAGAGCCTGGAGTCTGGCCTGAGTTGCCCAGATGCAGGCCTGAGGGAGGAGGCCTGGCAGGGTAGGAAGAAACCGTTGGCTTCTCTCCAGCGGGCTCCTGAAGCTGGAGCCCACCCGGCAAGGTTAACACTTACTTTCATCCTCTCTCTCCTCAGCCCATCCTCTATTCCTATTTCCGAAGCTCCTGCTCATGGAGAGTGCGAATTGGTAAGAGCTGTGCCCCCGCCAGGCTGAGTGCTGGAGTCGGGTGGGCTGGGGTGGAGAAGCCCAGGCACAAAGCTGGCCAGGGGTGGAAGGGGTCCTCTGTCAGAAAGGACCTCACCCCCAGCAACCAGCATCCCCCATCTCCTAGAACCCCCATCCCTGAATGTCATCTCCACCCGAGACATGCAGGGTGAGGGTGGGAGGAGGGGGGTTGTTTTTTCTCTTTGGACTGATACTTCTCCCAACACTGCTCTCCAAAGCCCCTTGGCAACCATGTTTAAAGCAGGGTCACAAAATCCAGATGCCCCTGGTAACTGGCAGGGGAACAGCTGGCCTTTTTCAGTTCTTATCTTATTTGAACTGGCAAAGCAAACAGAATGGGTCAGCATCAGCCTTGGAGGCTTTAGAAAAGCAGAAACAAAGGCCTTGTGGCTAGTCCTTGTTTGCCTTTCCCTCCCTCGGTTTAACACAACCTTCGGCAAAGGTCATAATCAAAGCAGCTCGTACTGCGGAAAAGCTCTGTGCTGAGTGCTTCTGTGTGCAGGATTCCATTTAAACCTCAACAACCCTAGGAAGGAGGTACTATTACTGTCCCCGTTGTGTAGAGGAGGAAACTGAAGCACAAAAAACTGAGGCAAGATTAAGTATCTTACCCAAGATCATTCAGCTGCTAAGAGGCAGAACTGGAATCTGAACCACATAGTCTGGCTCCAGAGGCCCATTAAGTTACTTGCCTGAGGCCACACAGCAAATGACTATGATGAAATTTGAACCCAAGAAGCTAGCCGAAACCAACCTTTGTGACCCCTCCTCCAACCCGCAGTCACTTGGTATTTGCTGGGATCAGTAGGCAAGAGACTGGGTGCCAGGAGAAACTTTCTCCAAGATTAACCCATCCCTGGGTGCCAGTGCCTCTGCCCTGGCTCAGCCAGAAGCCGGAGCAATACAGGTGCTGTCTGTAGGGCCTCGTGCTTTGGCCTTTCCTCCCTGGCCCCTAACACTGTCACTCTCCAGCATGGAGCTGACCAGTGCTAGCACGAGCCTGGTGTTGCCCAGGCTCTTTACACCACGACATGTCTGGTCCTCCTCCCCTCATGCCTGTGCCCTTGCCTGAGATCAGCCATCACCATACTCGAATGCCCAAGTGTGCATGCATAATACACACACATGCACACACATGCAGTCTGCTCCACTAGTGTTGACCCACCCAAGTTTTTTTTACCCTCAGCTTGCCAGGGGAAATCAAAAGGGATGGAGAGGAAATCTGGTGACTGAAGTCACAGCAAATGCTCCGAGGACACCAAAGAGCCCAGTGCCTTTCTGGAATTTTTAGTAAACAGCCCTGAGAACAGAGAGAATAGATTGAAGGAGTTTTCTCTCCAACAGAACAAGACTGCCGCTGTCTGTGTGGGCTCTGGGTGGTCACCTGAGCTCCTTCCCTTGGCCCTTAGATGCCTTCTTGAAGGAGTAATTGTATGTCTCCAACCAAGACACTGGTCATCACTGTTTAAGGCCCGGGGCAGGGGCACAGGGCAGAGGTAAACACAACACACCCTTTCTGTCCTCGAGGAACCCACAGAATGGCAGGGCATACACCTTTATCACCACCCAGGGGGCATGATGGCTCCATTGGGGGGTCCATATCGTGAAGTCTCTGAGAGTTCGGGTGTGAGAGAGGCAGAGAATTGAGCATCTGGGGTAGGGAGTGGGTGGTGACAAAGAAAGCTGGAGAAAAGGGGTTAGTGCCAAGCTGAGCCTTGACCACCCGGAAGTGTAGCAACGCCTTCCCCTCTTTGGCCTTCTGTCACCCTAGAAGGGCTCTTTCCTTAGGAGTTTGGCCAGAGGCTGTTCCCTGACTCTGCTATCTGCGGTCTCTCCTAGCTCTGGCCTTGAAAGGCATTGACTTTGAGATGGTGCCCATCAATCTCATAAAGGATGGGGGCCAACAGGTAAGAAGGCTGTGCCCAGACCGCGATGTAGGAATTGAAGGCCTTGAAGAGGCACCAGGCAGGGGAAGAAAGGGAGGCTCTGCCCCCGAGAAGTGAACCTGTATCCTGTGGACCGTCACTGCAGAAGGCTGCTGGCTCTCCCTTGTGGGACAAGGTAGCAAGCTGTGCAGTAGTAGGAGGCCAGGGAAGGGCCCAGGTCCAGGCTCGGTACCCTAGCCTGAGCTCTCCAGTCCCTGACCCTGGAAGGGTGGATGGCAAGTGGGTCCCCACTCCATACTGGGTCCTCTGGATGGCTGACTAGGGTAGGAGCTGCCATGGTGGCCACAGTGTAAGATGCAGGGGAAAGCCCATAGCCAGGCTGTTAGGATGCAGCCTGTGGCTCAGCAGCTGCTGGGGTTTGGTAAACTGCATGGATCCCCCAGGGATTATCCTGGGCCTAGGAGTTAGGGCCTTCCTAGGGAAGGGAGAGGGGGCTGGGCAGCAGGCCTGGAGTTCTCCTGCTTGCTTGGTTCTCCTCTGGCCAACTCAGGCCAGGCCATCCAGTATACCAGGGCCTTGTCTCCACAGTTCTCTAAGGACTTCCAGGCACTGAATCCTATGAAGCAGGTGCCAACCTTGAAGATTGATGGAATCACCATTCATCAGTCAGTGAGTGCAGGGCCTGGGGGAGGGCCCTTGTGAGAGCAGTGCCTTGAATGAGCATGCCTGACATCTCTTCTTCACCTGTGTATGGGCAAGCACATAAGAGGCCTAGCACATAGTAGGGGCTCAATACAAGACTCGTGGGGAGGGTGGGAGGTTGTTAGGAAAATAAGAGAAGACTCGAGCATATGAGGAACCAAGTTCTGCAGGATAAGGTCCAAAAAGGCTATGCAGGGCTTGAGCTGAGGAGGAGGAGGGGAAAGAGCATAGTGATGGTACCGGAAGAGGAGGGGTTTGCTGGCCCTGTCCCCTCTGGTCCAGGGGTCCTGGGCCCTCTCCCTGCCTCACTGCTCCCCTCTGGACAGCTGGCCATCATTGAGTACCTAGAGGAGACGCGTCCCACTCCACGACTTCTGCCTCAGGACCCAAAGAAGAGGGCCAGCGTGCGAATGATTTCTGACCTCATCGCTAGTGGCATCCAGCCCCTGCAGGTGTGGCACTTGTACACTTGCACCCTTGCACACCTCACATACTCTTACACACTCATACATTGGCTGAGAGCTGCCCAGTGTGGGGGCAGGGGTGTCAAGGGAGAGACAGGGATTCTTAGGGGCTTTGACCTGGACCATGTGAAAGAAGGGGCGGAGATCTCAATCTCAGAAAAATCAGCCAGTGGGTCCCCAACTGCTTTCCGAGAAGCTCCAGGTTTCCAAGGACACATGTACAGGTGTTCAAGGTGGGGAAAGGGCCAGGGTGGCAGGGGAGAGACTGGGCGGGCTTCTGTCCAGGCCTCCTGCCTTTAACCAGAGTGGCTTTCCTTTCATCTGTGTTATCTCAATCATACCCTGGGATGCTCGGAAGATTTTTTAAGTTTCACTGTTGGCCGGGCGCTGTGGCTCATGCCTGTAATCCCAGCACTTTGGGAGGCTGAGGCCGGTGGATCATAAGGTCAGGAGTTTGAGACTGGCCTGACTAACATGGTGAAACCCCCTCTCTACTAAAAATGCAAAAATTTGCTGAGCATGGTGGTGTGCGTCTATAATCCCAGCTACTCAGGGGGCTGAGGCAGGAGAATCACTTGACCCTGGGAGGCAGAGGTTGCAGTGAGCCGAGATTGCACCACTGCATTCTAGCCTGAGCAACAGAGTAATAAGACTCAGTCTCAAAAAAAAAAGAAAAAAACAGTTTCCCTGTTAAAACAGACAAGTATTAAAAACAGTTTATCTGTCCCAACTCCTACTTTGTGAGTGAGGAAATAGCCCCAGAAAGGTGGAGTGACTTTGCTGAGTCCCACAGCTAGGTGCCAACAGAGTGGGGACTCAGCCAGGACCCCTGCACACCTGTGGCCCCCACCACCATGTCATCTTGTTATTTTAACAAAGGATGTTGGAGCTGACAGACATCTCCATTTTACAATGAGAAGGCAGAGGTAAAATGGCTCTGGGGTGCCAAGATGGAGCCAGGGTGGAATCTCTGGAAGCCAGTCCTGTGTGCCTCCCTCATCCCAGACCCACCCAGTCACACTCCCTCTCCTCACAAGGGACCATGCAAGGGAGAAGAGAGGGAAATGGGCCTTGGGTTGTGAGCACACCTGCCACAGCCGTGGCCACATCTTGTGTCGCATGAATAGGGATTCATGCACATCTCTGATGGAATCATGTGGCTTTTAGAGGCCACTGGGGCAGCCTGGGAAGGTGACTGCTGGGATGGCTACCTCCCTTCAACTTCAGGGCCCTGGGGAGAAGGGATAGATGTCCAGCCAGGGGCAGATGGGAAGTGAACTTCCCTGAGGGGGTTTGGCCAAGCGGCAGCCGCCACCCAGCACTCAGAGCAATCACAGATTTTCTTTGGGCTGCACAGAACCTGTCTATCCTGAAGAAAGTGGGAGAGGTTTCCAAGGACTTGAGAGAGGAGACTCATCTGACCTGGGCCCAGAATGTCATCACGTCTGGCTTTAACGGTGAGTCCTCATGCCCGTGAGCTGCCCCACTGGGGCAGCCTGTGAAGGTGACTGCTGGGATGGCTGCCTCCCTCCAACTTCAGTGGCCTCTCAGAGGTCTACCCTTGCACACAAGGGCCTGGGTGTCTGAACCAGCCTCCTGGGCTGCTTTGGTCTTGATAGTTCCATGGATGAGAGCAGGGCTGGGAAGGCGATAGGCTGGGTGGGTATCCAGACCTTACCTCCAGCGCTTCCGGGAACCTCAGTCCCTGAACCCACAGCTCTTCATAGCTGGGTGGCCCAACTTCTGCTTCACTGCCCACTCCAGCCGGGAAACCAAGGTCAGCACAGTGCCAGCCATCAGAGTGAGAGCTGCCACTACAGCCAGTAGCTAGGTTTGTCCACTCGAGTGGGGGAAATGGTGGCTGGATGTGCAGAGCCTTAGGAAGCAGAAGCTCATTCCTAGCAGCTCTCTCCAGACCCAGCTGCCACGTTCTCTACAGCAGCCGTGCCCAGTCTATCACTCAGATGGGCGCCCATTTCATAACTATGGAGGCCAAGGCCCAGAAAGCTTCATGTCCCCTTCCTCTGCCCAGAATAAGATGTTCTTGTGGCCTCCCCACAGCCCTGGAGCAGATCCTGCAGAGCACAGCAGGCAAATACTGTGTAGGAGATGAGGTAAGCTGTCCCCAGGCCCAGCCACAGGGGCCACCTCCCTCATGCTAGGACTCTCTTCCACTGGGACTTAGCTGTCTCCCCGACCCTGAGACATGTGGGGCTCAGAGCCTCCTGAGCGGGGAGCTTTCTGCAGGAGGAGCTCTGTGCCGTGGGGCACTCCTCAGCTTACTCCCACTAAACCATCTCAAGAGGCAGTTATTCAAGGTAGAAGACTGTGCTGTGAGAGGATGAGGCAGGCCAGACATCAGTGGAGGGATTGTGCTAGATGATGTCTGTGCAATCAAGACAATCCCATCTTTTCTGGCCTTCTCAACCCACAGAGTTGGTCGTCAGGGCAACTGGGGCATGGCCTGGGAGGGCATTTCAGCTCTGGGAAACACCCAGGCAGGCCTGTGGCAGACAAGAATGGGGGGCAGGATGGGTGAAAGAGCCGAAGCAGATTTTTGGCACCCCCCGGTAGAGTCACAGTGGACACACCCAGTCTAGCCAGTGAGTCTGGGGTACTCACCCTGATGAGAACCCACCTGACCCTCTTTCAGGTGACCATGGCTGATCTGTGCTTGGTGCCTCAGGTGGTAAATGCCGAGAGGTAAGAGAGCCCCGCCACCCTCCCTTCTCCTGGCTCTGCCCACAGTCAGGCCCCTACTGAGCTGGTGAGGTAGCATCTCATTCGGACTCTTCCCCAACCAGCCAAGGAGCCCACCATGCCAGGCCACTCAGCCACTTTGGCCTGGAAGAGGGCAAAAGAAATTGGGGCAGTGTTCCTACCATGCCCACTCCAGACCAGATGATCCTGTATAGATAGCTCCTGCTCCTGTGAGGAGCTGGCTCACCTGCTGGAGCCCCAAGAGCCTGATGTCCTCAGATGTGATGTGTCTGTGCCCAGCAGTGAGTTCTATCTCTGCTTCCCTCCGTCAACCCTTCAATAGGGCACGAATGAGCCCTGTTAAAAGCATGGAACCCAGCTCAGCGTTGTTTGTTTTTTTTTTTGAAACAGAGTCTTGCTCTGTCGCCAGGCTGGAGTGCAGTGGCACAATCTTGGCTCACTGCAACCTCTGCCTCCTGGGTTCAAGCGATTCTTCCGCCTCAGCCTCCCAAGTAGCTGGGACCACATGCACGTGCCACCATGCCCGGCTATTTTTTGTATTTTTAGTAGAGACGAGGTTTCACCATGTTGGCCAGGATGGTCTCGATCTCTTGACCTCGTGATCCACCTGCCTCGGTCTCCCAAAGTGCTGGGATTATAGGCATGAGCCACCACGCCTGGCCCCAGCTCAGTCTTAAACAAACAAGGTAGAGCCCTGGCCTTCAGTTTAATTCCAGCGAGCCCTATCTGGAAAGCATCTTGCTAGGCATCAGGGATATGGAAATATATGGCACATTCCCTGCCCCCAAGAAGTTTCCATATCCCTATCTCTAATGGGGGAAGAAAGACTCTATATGTAAATGCCTAGCACTGGACCTTACACATAGTAGGTTCTCAAAGAAATAGGAACAGTAGGGCCAGACGCTGTCGCTCACGCCTGTAATCCCAGCACTTTGGGAGGCCGAGGTGGACAGATCACAAGGTCAGGAGATCAAGATGATCCTGGCTAACATGGTAAAACCCCATCTCTACTAAAAATACCAAAAAGAGTAGCCAGGCATGGTGGCACACACCTGTAATCCCAGCTACTCAGGAGGCTGAGGCAGGAGAATCACTTGAACCTGTGAGGCAGAGGTTGCAGTGAGCTGAGATCACGCCACTGCACTCCAGCCTGGGCGACAGAGCGAGACTCTGTCTCAAAAAAAAAAAAAGAAAAGAAATAGGAACAGTAGGTAACAGATGCTAAATGATACTGCCCAAGATCTTACCCATCCTCTATGAGTAAGGGCTGCCCCACTGTCCTTCCCTGGACAGCTCCTGAGACCTCATCCCGCCTTGCCTCTCTGCTCCCTCACTGCCCCCAGGGCAGTCTCCCTGTGTCCCTGAAAAGCTTGGCTTAGTGGGTGTTTCTCTACTACAGATTCAAGGTGGATTTCACACCCTACCCCACCATCAGCCGTATCAACAAGAGGCTGCTGGCCTTGGAGGCCTTCCAGGTGTCTCACCCCTGCCGGCAGCCAGATACTCCCACTGAGCTGAGGGCCTAGCTCCCAAATCCTGCCCCATTAGCACAGGGGCACAGGGGCAGAAGCTGAGAAGATGGGAGACTCGAAGTCTAGTCCTGGATCTGCCTTCCTGCTGAACCCAGTTCCACCTCAGCCCCCTCATTTGTCAAATGCATGTGGGGTGGGGTAGGGAGATGCTGGGAGCAGGGTGGACGGAAATATTACCTGCTATCTATGTGACGGCGGGTGGTCATGAAGCTGAGATGAGAATGTGGATTAAAATGGCATGCTTACCATAGGACCACAGGGAAGCCTGAGTGCGTTTTCTCATCCCCTTTTGTTGTGTCTGATTCCAAAGAATGCCCACACTGAAATCTGGCCTGAATTAAACTGAAGGCCAGGGCTCTACCTTGTTTGTCTAAGACTGAGCTGGGTCCCAGAAGATGAACACTGTCCCTAGCCGGAATCCCCTGTGCCTGGACCAGTAGAGGAAGTCAGTCAGCCGCTTGCCTACCCTGTGGCAGGCCTAGCCCATGGGACCTAAGGGCAATGAAGAGAAATATGCCCAAAAGCCTGCCTGAAAGAATCAGACAAGATCCAGGGAGATAACAGATAGAAGCAGGAAAGCATCTAGTGACTGGCTGAGTTCCCAGGGCTAGAATGGTACCGTTGTTAAATGTTCCACTCCGGGCTGGGTGCAGTGGCTCATGCCTATAATCCCAGCACTTTGGGAGGCTGAGACAGGTGGATCACTTGAGGTCAGGAGTTCGAGGCCAGCCTGACCAACATGGAGAAACCCCATATCTACTAAAAATACAAAATTAGCCGGGTGTGGTGGTGTGAGCCTGTAATCCCAGCTACTCGGGTGGCTGAGGCAGGAGAATCGCCAGAACCCGGGAGGCGGAGGTTGCAGTGAGCCAAGATCGTACCACTGCACTCCAGACTGGGCAATAAGCAAAACTCTGTCTCAAAAGAAAAAAAAAAATTAGCCAGCGTGGTGGCATGTGCCTGTAGTCCCAGCTACTCAGGAAGCTGAGGTAGGAGAATCACTTAAACCCGGGAGGTGGAGGTTGCAGTGAGCCGATATCATGCCAGTGCATGTCCGCCTGAGCGACAGAGCAAGATTCTGCTTCAAAATTTAAAAAAAATTCCACTCCAGCTCTGAAAGGCAAGTTGGTCGTCTTAACCCAGTCCCTTGTCTTCAGGGCCAGCATTCTCCAGACCAGTCCCAGGATTAGTTAGGCACTCTGGGTAAATCCACTCCCGAGTGTTCCTGGGAATGGGAGGCAGACTCCCCCATGGGCAGTGTGAGCAGCTACTGACCAGGCCAGCTCAGGAGACCAAACATGGTACCATGTGCCATGGGCTGCCCATGCTTGGCAGTGTGCAGGCAGAACCAGGACCAACCACCTCTGGGCAGAAACGGCATAGGGAGATTGGGGTCGCTTCTGGGGATGAAATGAGATGACTTTTTAGGACCTATACCTCCTAAAGGCCTCACCTCTTAATACTGTTGCATTGGAGATTAAGTTTCAACATGAATTTTGCAGGGGACATAAACATTTAAATCCAGGCCAGGCGCAGTGGCTCACCCCTGTAATCCTAGCACTTTGGGAGGCCAAGGCAGGTGGATCACGAGGTCAGGAGTTCGAGACCAGTCTAGCCAACATAGTGAAACCCTGTCTCTACTAAAAATACAAAAAAAAATTAGCCAGGTGTGGTGGCGCATGCCTGTAGTTCCAGCTGCTTAGGAGGCTGAGGCAGGAGAATTGCTTGAACCTAGGAGGTGGAGATTGCAGTGAGCCGAGACTGTGCCACTGCACTCCAGTTTGGGCAACAGAACAAGACTCCATCTCAAAAAAAAAAAGGGGAGACAACATTTAAATCGTAACAAAGACCATCACTTTTTACAGGACATTTTCCAGTAGGGGCTTATGTCAAGTCCCTCCTTTCCATATCAGCTGTAAGTTCCGTGCACACTCATCAGACACCTGGTCCTGATATGCTAGAGGCCGCAGGGAGACCTGATACACGGACTTCCCACGTGAAGGAAGAACAATGACGGAGTGGCCTGATACTGGTAATTCCAACTATATGGAAGTAACAAGTCCCCAGAAATACTTCAGAAGGAGGAAAGCAGTAGGGAGGTGCTGTGAAGAAACACCTGAGAACACAGCAAAAAGTATAGGCTTGTGTTCCTCAGAAATTTTACATATCCATTAAGGAAAGTGGCAAACTCACTGGATAAACAGGTGATACACTTATTCATAAGATACTAATTTTTTTTTTTTTTTTTTTGAGATGGGAGTCTCACTGTCGCACCCAGGCTGGAGTGTAGTGGCGAGATTTTGGCTCACTGTAACCTCTGCCTCCTGGGTTCAAGTGATTCTCCTGCCTCAGCCTCTCAAGTAGCTGGGACTACAGGAGCCTGGCACCACGCCTGGCTAATTTTTTTTATATTTTTGGTAGAGACAGTATTTCCCCATGTTGGTCAGGCTGGTTTCAAACTCCTGACCTCAGGTGATCCGCCCACCTCAGCCTCCCAAAGAGCTGGGATTATAGGCGTGAGCCACTGTGCCCAGCCAAGATTGGCTCTTCCTTTTAGATTTTTTTATTTAAAAAAAGTTTTTTTAGAGATGGAGTCTCACTGTGTTGCCCAGGCTGATCTTGATCCTTCCGCCTCAGCCTCCTGTGTAGCTAGGCCAGCTCTTACTTCTAAACATAACTTATTTAGCTCTTGCTTCCAAGGTCACAGGCAAGCATCATTTTATTTTTGGAGAATACCTTGAACTAAGGATAGCTGCCAAGTTTAAGCCAGAACTGCACAGGTTAAAGAACATTAAGGCTGTATCAAGAGCTATAATGTGTGAGCTGCCTTATGTAATCCTGAGCTATGTCAAGGTCAATGATATGACACATATGCTTTTAAAAGTTAAAAAAGATCTTAAATATATTATGTGTTAGCAGTGACATATTACATCCAGCATACCCAAACATGAATCATTAATGATCTCCAGCTGCATGGAATCTGCCTGGGCTTTTGGTTAGTTGTAGGGTAGTTTGGTGATTACATTCATTTAACTCAATTGTTTCAGATCCCTTCCTCTTTTATGCTTCATCGTCTAAAATAAGTTGCAACAGAAAGCAGAGAATGATCTAACAGGTTCATTTTAGAATCAAGATATCACTGAAGGAAATACTTATATGCAACCCTTCCCTGCTCCAGTGTGAGTCCTTATTCTGTAACAGACACCAGAGATGCGGTTTTAAAAGATATCAAAGATATGTTGTGGTGTCACTTTTGTTAATGAAAATAGGCTGAATTCATATCACCCAGATTACATTAATGATTGGCCTGGTATCCAAAGTACAGGTTCCAAATTTGAACAGAATATGTTTATGGGGAAATGAGGCTCACTGGGACCAAATACTGATATTAAAACTCAATGTTCTATTTATTAATCATCACTGTAAACCCAGTTTTTCCAACCCCAGTTCCCAGTTCATGATACTCTGCCATGAATTAAAATGCAGATGAAAGATCTATTATTAACCTTATTCTCAATTTTCTTTTTTAGTTTTTCTTAACTTTTATAATCTTAATATCTTATGAAATAATTCATATGGGTTTATAAAATACCTTTCTTTTTTTTTTTTGAAATGGAGTTTCGCTCTTGTTACCCAGGCTGGAGTGCAATGGCGCGATCTCGGCTCACCACAACCTCCGTCTCCTGGGTTCAGGCAATTCTCCTGCCTCAGCCTCCCAAGTAGCTGGGATTACAGGCACGCGCCACCATGCCCAGCTACTTTTTTGTATTTTTAGTAGAGATGGGGTTTCACCATGTTGACCAGGATGGTCTCAATCTCTTGACCTCGTGATCTACCCGCCTCGGCCTCCCAAAGTGCTGGGATTATAGGTGTGAGCCACCGCGCCCGGCCTAGAATACCTTTCCTTTTTTTTTTTTTTTTTGTTTTTTGTTTTTTGTTTTTTGTTTTTTTTTGAGATGGAGTTTCGTTCTTGTTACCCAGGCTGGAATGCAATGGCACGATCTCGGCTCACCGCAACCTCCGCCTCCTGGGTTCAGGCAATTCTCCTGCCTCAGCCTCCTGAGTAGCTGGGATTACAGGCACGCGCCACCATGCCCAGCTAATTTTTGTATTTTTAGTAGAGACGGGGTTTCACCATGTTGACCAGGATGGTCTCGATCTCTTGACCTTGTGATCCACCCGCCTCGGCCTCCCAAAGTGCTGGGATTACAGGCTTGAGCCACCGCGCCCAGCCGAATACCTTTCTTAAGGAAGATAAATAAAAGACAAAGAATTTAAGATGTAAATCAGGTTCATTAAAATATAACTCAGATGTTCCCAGGTGCATAGTGAAAAAGTTTATTTATGACAGATTTCAAAACTCAGATGACAAAGAATGCACAAAAGCATCACAAAACTGTTACATAATATAAAACACAAGAACTGAGCTATTTAAAGAACCACAGCTCAGAATCATCAGTGTAATCGCAGTAACACACTCAGTGCCACAGGATGATAAAAATGGTATTTTAAGAGAAAAACCACTGAGCAGGACACAAGAAGTAAGTAACAATTTGGTAAGAGCTCTTAGAAATCATGGGAGATGTTAATAGCATTTCTCATGATAGGGGGCATGTGAAACAAGTTGACCATAATTAATGATTAGTTGGGATGCTTTTGTATTTTAAAGAAAAAAGATAAAAGAGTGACACAGTTTCCCTTCCAGACCCCTTTTTATAATGTCAGCAACAGTACATGATACAGAACAGTAAGGAAATAACGTCTTTGTGGTTGCCAACTGCTTAAATCTTAACAAAGAAAACATGATCATCTTTCAGTCCACTGATTGATCTGAGTACATGGCACCAAAGAAGGCCCTTCAGAAACAAGCTAAATGGCATAAAGCAGTTTAGAAAATCTTCAGGCACCTCCCTTTTTTCCAATTATCCTTATCTAAAGTCTGGCTTTCTTATAATCCATCACTTGGATTACAAAACAGCTCTCTTCTGGGAATTTCAAAACACTTCCCATTATGTTAAGGGAAAATGGGTACACCAGAGTCATGGGTTACAGAATCGCTTTCTCCAGACCTGACTTCTCTTTAACATGGCTAAGTGGAAATAATTTAGCTGGATTAAATGAAAGCTACTTCACTTAACGGGATAATCTCAGGAGACAGGAATGGGGTTTTTCATATGGAGTTCCTTAGTAACATGTACTGTTTAGGATATGAAAGAAGGAATTAAGATAATGTTTTCCAGATGACTCTTGGCCCAATCCTAAAAATCAACAATAACAATCAATAGCAAGGAACATTACACATTTAACCCTGAGTGATGAAGAGAGTTCATTCAGGAAAAGAGCCCCTTAAACTCTGAATTAAGGGCTCTTTGGTAAAATCATATACTATACTATTTCAAACCAAAACTTCAGAATGGTTCATGATCCTATATCACAACTTTAGAAAATATACTTTGTCCTCTGGAAGTCATTTCACATATATTATTTTACCCCCAGATAAGCTACAACTACCTGCTTAAAATGATTTTTTTAAAACTAGGGAATTAAATAAACATGCATCTCTAGATTTCTAGGGCAACTTTTCATCCTCTCTTAGAATGAAGAGCCATGACATTAACTCTGGTCCACATACCTGAGGCCTAAAAGAAATCAAGGTACATATAATAGGAATCAGATGATGAGCCTGATTTCAAAGCCAGTGTCTTGCCTTTGGACTCAGTGTGTGAGGCATGCCTATTTGTAAATGAGTTCCACTATCACAGGCTTTAGGCAACTGTGTTTTCTTAGCTTAGAAATTTCTTAGCTTAAGAATTCAAACAGGAGGGGCTTTGTTTGGCCTTCTTGGTTTAGGCAGGAATAATAATTGAGAGGGAGCAGTGATTTCTGAGCAAAATTCTAAGATCTATTTGATAGCTTTGCTCTCCCCTGCCCACATACTCCTACCCTTGCCCCCTCATTTTATTTTGTTTTCATTCCTGGTGGTCAATTTTAATGAAAGAGGTTCTTAATTTTGCCCAGGTTGGCCTTGAACGCACAGCCTCTCCTCCTCAAGTGGCAGGACAACTGGCCAGAGCCACCATGGCTCCCGTCAATTTTAAAAGTCAGTTCTCAAGCCACACAAAACGGTTTAATTTATGCCCCTTCCTTATGCTCCATTAAAACAAGTCTTTTATGTAAATATTAGGGTCACTGAACTCCACACCGTAGAACCACGGACACTAGGGTTAAAAGGCAACCTTTTGCAGGTAAGCGTTTTAACAAACAAATATAAAAGTACAGACTTTAGAGTTTGGATTTCAACTAATTCTCTTCAAAAGGAACTGAGCAGGGCTCATCATAAACATAAACTCATTATTTTGTATAGATGAAGACATTTTATGATAACACCTAATCCTACTGCTTAATATAAGACAGCGTTCAGATTTCACTCTTCCATGTACATATTATAATGGGACAATATACACTTCTTTAAAAGTCTGAGTTTTTCTTCCCAAAATAACAAAAATATTTTTTAAAGTGCATATATCAATTCATTAAGAAAAAAAATAGGAATGGTCAATTCCAAATTGCTACCTACTTCCATGATAAAGCTACCTGTTCTCTGAGGATTGAGTTTTGGTATCAGGATCCTGAGGTCATGTCATCAAGCAACAGAGATTAGCCCTTCTGGAGCAGCTTCACAATCACTCCTGTACCGAAATACCAGTTAGTAAAGAAAACAGCAGAGAGCATGGCCTGAGGGAAAGGGGAAATACAGCACAGGTTTTAAAAGATGGAGACCAAGAAACAATTTTTTTTTTTTTTTTTGAGATGGAGTTTTGCTCTGTTTCCCAGGCTGGAGTACAATGGCATGATCTTGGCTCACTGCAAACTCCACCTCCTGGGTTCAAGCAATTCTCCTGCCTCAGCCTCCTAAGCAGCTGGAACTACAGGCATGTGCCACCACACCCGGCTCCAGAGTAGCTGGGATTATAGGCACCCACCACCAGGCCCAGCAAATTTTTGTATTTTTAGTAGAGACAGGGTTTTACCACGTTGGCCAGGCTGGTCTCAAACTCCTGACCTCAGGTGATCTGCCCACCTTGGCCTCCCAAAATGCTGGGACTACAGGAGTGAGCCATCGTGCCTGGCTCCAAGAAACATTTTATGAAGACCACCTCCTGGATAACCCATGTTGAATGAAACAGGTCTGCTAAAAATCAGGGGCTCTCTGACAGAGCTGATGTTGTCTGTGCAGGGGACATTCTCAGCATTTTCTAACTGGAACTTGTCAAAAGGAACAGAATGTTATAATCATCTTTGCTTAAGAATTGGTAGTTTAAAATTTTTTAATTTATGTTGCGGGGGGAGTGTATGGTACATATATATACAGTAAACCAAAAATAAAATTCCGAACCCCCAACTGGCTGAGTGTACCCCACTCTTAGCATAGGGGATCCCAAAGGAACCTGAAAAACTAGTCCATGATGGAAAGAAGAGGGTCAGACATGCCTCATTTTACCCTTTTCACGTTGGAATTTAAATACAACTGACCAGCATTAACGTTAATACAGAGATCTTAAGACTAACCAAACAGACTCTTTGTGGCAATAAAATACCAACTCCCAACTTGACTCTGACATAGCATCATATGACAGATAGCAGGCCCCAAAGAAAATCAAAGTATTTTATTCCCCAATATATTTATTTAACATATTTTTAAATGGCCCTACAAAGCTGTTTCTTCTGGGGGAAATTTGCATTCTGTAGAAAATCTTTTTTTTTTTTATTTAAAGAGACAGGGTTTCGTCATCTTGGCCAGGCTGGTCTTCAACTTCTGACCTAGTGACCTACCTACCTCAGCCTCTCAAAGTGCTGGGATTACAGGCATGAGCCACCGCACCCGGCCATTTTTTTTTTTTTTTAAAGAGACCTTCAAAGCTACTGCAAATCAAGAAAATCTCCTCGCCGGGCGCGGTGGCTCAAGCCTGTAATCCCAGCACTTTGGGAGGCCGAGGCGGGTGGATCACAAGGTCAAGAGATCGAGACCATCCTGGTCAACATGGTGAAACCCCGTCTCTACTAAAAATACTAAAAAAATTAGCTGGGCATGGTGGCGTGTGCCTGTAATCCCAGCTACTCAGGAGGCTGAGGCAGGAGAATTGCCTGAACCCAGGAGGCGGAGGTTGCGGTGAGCCGAGATCGCGCCATTGCACTCCAGCCTGGGTAACAAGAGTGAAACTCCGTCTCAAAAAATAAAAAAAAAAAAAAAAGAAAATCTCCTCTTATGAGGTCTTTTCTGGAGAGTCTGACACCTTTTAAGGTCTAATAAGAAATATTCATCATCTACTCTCTCTGAAGCCTGCTACCTGGAGGCTTCATCTACATATCAAGAACCTCAGCTTCCACAAGCCCCCATTACTTTAACTTAAGCTGACTTCATCTTTTCAGGTAGATCTTAACTCTTTCAACCAATTGCCAGTCAGGAACTCTTTGATCTACCTCTGATCTAGAAACACCCATCTTCAAGATGTCCTGCCTTCTTAGGCCAAACCCATGTATACCTTACATGTATTGATTGATGTCTTTGCCTGGAACTTCTGTCTCCCTAAAGTGTATAAAGCTGTAACCCAACTACCTTGGGGATGTGTTCTCAGAACCTCCTGAGGCTGTGTCATGGGTTCTCAACCTTGGCAAAATAAACCTAAATTTATTCAGACCTGTCTCAGATACTTTTTGGGTTACAGTATATTTTTATTTCTTTTAAGCTGTTTGCTAAAATTTTTTCACAACAAAACATTCACGGAAAAATCAATACTTAGTCTTCCTTTCTAAAAGCCCCATGTCTCAACAAAGTGGCAAAACTAAAACTAAATAAATTTAAGAACTAAGTCACTCTGTATAGAAAATTCCAATCTCTCGCCTACTATGAAGCACTTTCTTTCAATTGCTTGTTAATATTTATTTGTGCTCTAGAGAACAGGGTGAAGATCAAAGCAAACAATTTTCATTTCGTTGTTTGGGTCTATAAATTTGGACTGCGAGGGGCCAAGGAAATGACCATCTCTTAGTATTTGCTGAGCTGCGGGTTCTCAGTAATTACCTGTGCTTCAGTAAATAATATCTTGCCCCTAAAGTTCAATTGTTTCAGAAATGTAATGTGAGGATAGTGAATCAGACAGTGAGAATATCTTCTTTTAGCTATTTTAGAACACAGAAACCCTGACTGTCAGTGAAAAACCAGTATGGAATGAAATGTAAGCATGCCCAGGACTTCCAAAGTGACCAGATGCTAACAAGCACACAGAGAAAGGGAGAACAAGTCCCTCAGGCTTCCCTGATGCAACAGAACTAGCATTCCAAAGAAAATAAGCAGAGAATCTCATGGTGAAAAGAAATCATCAATAACAAGTGTTATCCTTGGGAGCTTGCTACTTATGGCCTGACAGTTTCATTTTGAGAGGAAGGCAGAAGTTAATAATAAACAGGAAAAATAAGCAAGGCTTTAGCTGACTAGAAAACAGCTCAGTAGAAAATTATTTTACAAAGATTATATTCAATTAGCTAAGGCATGATTTGACTTCAAGGATGCAAGAGCAGTCACTCAGCTATCCAGTGGGATGACACACAGCAAATCTGGTCTTCACTGCCTCAACAGACAGTCACCAAAATAATTTCTTTAAAGGTATATAAATTTTGGCTAGTGTCATCCTCTACAAAACACACTTGCAAATATAAAATAATGGAGGTATGATGCAGCTCAGAGGATGGGACTGCTCTGGCGATCCCCAACATCCTATCCCACTTGGGGCTTTGCTCCGAGGGGAAGAGAAGGCGCAGGATGTATTGCATTTGATGTGATGTAGATGCTACTCGGGACCTACTGGGAAGAGTCCTGCTCCTTGAGTTATGCTACTGTAGGGATAGACCCTTGGTGTGAGGAATCCAACAATGAAGGAGTGAGGCAAAGGAAACATCACGAAGAAGGTGACTCCTCAGAGGAGACAAAGGACTCCGAAATCCTGGAATCACAGGATATCTCTGATTGGCTGGGCAATTCCTCTGCACTCAATCCTCAGCAAACGGGCAGATTCCCTCACAACTTATAATTCTTCACAGGAAGTGCCGAACTGTACCCTAAACATGGAGTATGGTGGCATCATCCATCTCTGAAGGGCCGTACTTCTCACAAAGCCATCACAGGACTGACCTGCAGAAATAAAATATCATCGCTTCCCAAACTCTCCTAAAAATATCTTCTCTAACTCCATAAAAGAGGGGGCCTCTGTGGCTCAGAACAGATGGGAAGCCTTCTGAGAAACAGATGGAAACTGTTTCAAAGGCAAAATGAAATGTGCTAAAAAAAAAAATACAGTAATAAATAAATCTAATTATTCTTCAGAATTCGTAGGCAGTAACAGACGTAACACGAGGAGTAAGAGACGGAGAAGTACAAACACAAAGACTGCTGAGGTCCCATCTCACTGTCTCCTTCTCTGCCTGGGGGCCCAGCATCTGGTGCTCTGGTGACCACTGGCTGTAGCACCACCTGCACTCTGTGGCACTCCAGAGCCTCAGGGGTGACAGAGGAGGAAATGTTGTCACCAGGGAAATGCAAGCTTTGGTCAGGTAAAGAACAAATACAATCAGCAGCAACAGTGAAGCTTCATCATCACCTTAACTAAGGGACTCTGAACACCAAAAGCTTTAAGCCCTCAATGCAAGAAACCTAAATGCAGAAACTTTGGAAACCTCATTGGGTTTCAGTGCATTTGATTCCAAAGCAACATTTCTAAATAGCACTCCTACTCTAAAGACAAAAAAAAAAGTGGTGGGGACTCTGGAGTGGTTTTTTTTGTTTTTCATCTTCTCTCTCAGATGATACCATTCCTTCTTTGATTATACAATAACAAAAAAATAGTAATACTTGACCTTCAAATATGTGGGTTCTGCCATCAATTCAGTACCTAATTTCCACTCTATCCACTTTGACTGCCAGTGCCCTTGGAACAGGAAGTAATGGAGGCAGTTTTTCTTCCCACAAGATCTTAGGTTACGGTGATCATCATTTTAGATTGCATGGAGGTTCTTGCTGTAATGGCAAAAACAAAGACTTAGGAAAGAGGAGGAGGCGTCTACCATCAGGAATAGTAACAGCCCTCCAAAGGCAGTGTGGTCTCTCAGCTATGCAGAGACCAAGAATAACCAGCAGGCAGGAATATGGCAGTGGTGACAGGCTGGACAGAGCTTTCTCCAACCAAAAGATTGGGCTCCTTCGTGGACAATGTGCTTTTCCCTCTTCTGGCACCTCAAAAGGTAAAGAGAGTGGGTGCCACTAAATGCATTGGCAATAAAGGCTCTGAGAGAGGAGAGGGCAGCAATCTGAATGATCAACCTGTGCCAAGATAAATCTATTTTTAAAAAAACAACGCCCTGCTTCCTTTTAGGCTTGTGCCCGATAGGTGCCTTCAAGAGGGAATTTGCTGGAGTCTGAAGCAAGAAGAGTATGAGTCAGGGACCACAGAACAGGGGCACTACATCACCACCTGCGGAAGCCAAGAAGGGGAAAAGCTACGTGGGTCAACAGTCAGACATGCCAGACAAGGTGTGAGGCTCGGGAACCCCACATGAACCTTTAGCTCTTGCCTATCCAAAACAAGAGGCACCAGCTGGCAGCCTGCTTCAGCCAGCAAATACAGCCTGCCCCGTCCCAGTGGTCCTTCAGCTGGTGTAGTAGATGTGGAAGTAGAGAGTCTTGTTGCGCAGCAGGGAGTAAGAGTTGTCGAACTTGAGCAGGTAGATGCCCTCCCCAGGGTAGTCATGGCTGCCAGCCTGCACGTCTCGGTGGCTGTCCCTCCGGTACACAGGCATCACCTCCCCATAGCGACCCCGCAAGGAGCTCCTGGAGCCTCTCTCCACATCTCCAGCTGGAACAGGTTCTGCATGAGCAAAATGGCAATGTTTGGATATGTGTTCAGAGACTGCATAAGTCCTACCTCAAGGTGAGCAGAAGGACCTGGTAACCCAGTGGCTTTCACAGAGGGGGGAAGTGATTGCCCTTCTACAGACATTTGGAAATGTCTGGTAATCTTTTGGTCATCACAGTGACTACTAGGTGATACCTGCATTTAGTACCCAAGGGTCCAGGAGTGCTAAAATCAGGATAGTACCTACACAACAAAGGAGTGTCCCATTCTAAATGCCAATAATGTCTCCACTGAGAAACAATGGTTTAGCCTGATAGGAGCCTTTCTAGCTTCAGAAGTGTCTGGACATTTCTAAGAGGGAGAAAGATATTTAGAAGGAAAAATTATGACATTCTTTTATAGGTGAAAGGACTAGGTAATGGAGATAGGAATTGCAGATAAACATGTTATAAAGTGACCCTAACACTTGGCTTCCTGAAAAGCAGCAAATAAGATACAAGGTTCTCCTCTTTCCCAAATACTTGTAGATTTTCCTGCAGGCTTGCTTTCTATGAAGAGGCATGTTAAGGGATTGATTTTAAGATTATATAAGAAAATCAAGGAATAAGACTAATGCTTAGAACCGACTCTTACATTACCTGAAAAAAATGCCTCTGGGCCATCCTTAGTAGACAGTACAAATAACAACTGGAACGGAGCCTAGAGACCCTTTCAAAACTTCTCTGGGGGCCGGGTATGGTGGCTCACACCTGTAATCCCAGCACTTTGGGAGGCTGAGGCGGGCAGATCATGAGGTCAGGAGTTCGAGACCAATCTGACCAACACGGAGAAACCCCGTCTCTACTAAAAATATGAAAATGAGCCGGGTATGGTGGTGCAGGCCTGTAATCCCAGCTTCTCAGGAGGCTGAGGCAGGAGAATCGCTTGAAACCGGGAAGCGGAGGTTGCAGTGAACCAAGATTGCCTAGACAATCAGCCTAGGCGACAGAGTGAGACTCCATCTCAAAGAAACAAAAACAAAAACAAACGAACATAAAAAACTTCTCTGGGAATGAAGTAAAGAAGTAACCAATACCAGCTATGAGAGTTTGGGGTAGGGAGAGAATGGATACCTTTAGCAAACTGGAATCACTCACTTTGGTTCCAGGCCAAGAATAAATATCTCCAAACTAAGAGAGAGATGTAAAATCATCTCTGGCTTATATGTGACCTGAAAGACCATCCCTCTAAACTGCAGCATGACTCACCCTCTCTCTGCTCCTGCCCTCAGGAAGGTGTTGGGAAAACAGGAAGGTACTGATTAAAGGGAAAGAAGCTTTTTCAACTAAGGCAGCAGTATCAACCCCATCAGAGCATTCTCTTTGGCCTGGACCACTCAGCTCAGTTTGTAATGCTGAGTTCCTCAACTGCATTCGAAGGAAGAGGAAGACTGGTACAACCCAGGAAATGGTCGCCAGAAATTAGGTTAAGCCAGAAAACTGCAAATCATGCTAAAATTAAATTTACCTTCAATCTCCTCCTCCTCTTCCTCCTCTTCATCCTCGTCATCGCTGGAATCACTGACCTGCACAGTTATGTCAGTGCTGGTTACAGGGGTCCAGTCAAAATAAACTCCAAAGCCAATGTCATAGTCATCGGTCGCAAACTCCCAGCAGACACGCTTCCCTTCTGGATGAGTAGGTACCCTGATGGTCACCACCTCACCACGCTTCACCACCAGTCGGCTGTTCTTCTCTTTGCCCAGCTTGCTTTTGAATTCCTTCACCTTGGCAAATGTCCAGATGCATGGAGGAGCCATCAGAGGTGGAGAGACTGAAAGGACAGGCAGCTTACCACCGAGAAACTATGAGGAAACATGAGTACCCCTGGCATTTTGCTAAGAGAGGTTGGCACAGTCAGACATTCTTTCTACTGGCTTCTTGGACTTCCTTTCACAAGTCATATTCTTTCCTTCCATTTGTCTGCCTGCCTTTCTTTAAGTATCTATTGAAAACAAAAAAAAAACCCACCTCCTTTACTCCCAAAGGTCTCACCTTTCCTGTGGTCCCCCAGAAGATCTGCAGATTCCAAATCAGCTGAAAGAACATCTATAGCGCCTGTATGCTCAGATTGGATCATAACGATGTCCCCAGACCTCTGTGGAACTTGATACTTGGCCATCTGCACAACAGAACTCTGGTTAAAGGACATAGGAGAGTGGCAGGTTCTAATTAATCTCTTTTTGCATGAAGGCTGCCCTACCCCTGCTCTATTATCTCCACCATCTCCACTCAAAGCTCAATGTACTAGTCAATGTTACTTCTCTTTCTTCCAAGTAGGAGTTGTTAATACATTCTGCTAATTTTTTTAAGCCACCAAAATATTCCATTGTTTAAAGACTGTTCCCTACCTTTTGCAACTTTTCTGCACCAAACCCTTTATAAGGTTCTTGCCTACGAACACTCTCACAGGTTGCTGAGGGTATTTGCATTGACAGTGATTCCGGGCCATGCCTTGGTCTTACTTCACCTGCACAGTATCTCCTTGTGGCTCCTCTCATTAACAGCTCTTGCTCCTAGGGTTTAGTTTGATTCTCACTCTGCCACACATCCTCCCGGTACAATTCCCACTCAAGGGTTACTTCTACATTACTGTCAATCAGCTCTCCAAAGCACCGCAGAGAGAGAATCTGGTTTATAGTTGTTCTCTCTCTCTCATCCACAGCCCACGTTGGGCTACAGGTGGTCTCAGTCTTGAAGTCCCTAACAATGCTCTATCAATACAATTTCACCTTAGACCAGCCCCCAGAACTTGCATTTAAACAGTACATTTGCTGCCACACGTCTGACTTACATGGAAGAATGCAAATGGCATTTGATACTCAAAGCCCTCCCTAACCCATGCAGGAGCTTAAAATGTCTCCCTGGTGAGTTTCCCTTCAATCACTCAGATTCATGTTCCTGGTTTCATGCTATTATACCTAATTTCCTGCCCCTTCTCCAAACAGTTGGCAGGCAACTCAACAAGAAATCTATACTGATTGCCCACAGGGGAGAGCACATCAGTGAGTCAGTAATCCAGTTAAGAGGCTGGAATTGTATTTGTAAGAAATATATAATTCAAGTTTGTAATCCTCCCAGGCTGTATTCTCATATCTGTTTCTGGAAAACAATCCCTGCAGTTCTCATCTCCTTTGCTACCGGAAGTAAATCAGACTTTGGCTAATGTGCTTAAATAAATCCTTCCTTTTCTAAAATGCTAAATAAAGGATTACGTTGCAACATCTTAGCAAAGTCTGTAACAGCCCTTAGCCCCGTTTCCTTATTTCTTAAATGGAGACACAATTGCACCTATCTCATAAGGGTTGTTCTCAAGAGTAAATGAAGTGTTACAAATGCTTGTAAACTGTAAAGTATTACACAAATCTAATTATAATGTCTGGTGTTGTCTTCACTGACACTAATACCAATCCTTAATACATATGCTAATAAAGGATACAAACAACCCCACCGGCATACCTCTCTGGCAGGGTTACCACTACACTATTTATTTATTTATTTATTTATTTATTTATTTATTTAGTGACAGAATCTTAGTCTTGCTCTGTTGCCCAGGCTGGAGTGCAGTGGTGTGATCTCGACTAACTGCAACCTCTGCCTCCCAGGTTCAAGCAATTCTCCTGCCTCAGTCTCCCAAGTAGCCAGGATTACAGGCACGCAGCACCATGCCCAGCTAATTTTTGTACTCTTAGTAGAGAACGGGTTTCACCATGTTGGCCAGGCTGGTCTTGAACTCTTGACCTTGTGATCCTCCCACCTCAGCCTCCCAAATAGCTACTCTGTACAGCTACTTAGAAGCCTGAGGTGGGAGGATCACTTGAGCCCAGGAGTTTGAGGCTGCAGTGAGTCATGACTGCACCACTGCACTGAAGCCTGGGTAACAGAGTGAAACCTTCGTGTCAAAAAAAAAAAAAAAAAAAAGGCTGGGCATGATGGCTTACATCTATAATCCCAGCACTTTAGGAGGCCAAGGCGGATGGATTACCTTAGGTAGGGAGTTCCAGACCAGTCTGACCAATATAGTGAAACCCCTTCTCTATGAAAAATACAAAAATTAGCTGGGTGTGGTGGTACACACTTGTAATCCCAGCCACTCAGGAAGCTGAGGTGGGAGAATTGCTTCATCCCTGGAGGTGGAGGTTGCAGTGAGCTGAGATTGTGCCACTGCACTCTAGCCTGGGTGACAGAGGGAGACCCTGTCTCAAAAAAATAAAACAAAACTTCTATCATAAATACTAAATAGATCTACCACAAGCAAAGCAAGAGCAAGAGTCCAATGACTTCAGGCTCCTCACATGAACAGGATTTTAGAGAACACATGAACATTCATTCTAACCCTTCATTTTCTGAACAGGTGCCTACTGGGTGCCAGTATAATGATGGGCCCTGTGGAAGATACAAATAATCATTCTCCAAATAATAATTAAAACCAAGATGCCCTAAATTCAAGGGCAAAGAGAGAATTCTGGGAGCCACCCTCGCAGTGCTTTCTAATTCCAACCCATCCATTACGTGTCCACATTCTGGTGCCTCCTTTCATAAGAAAGAGCCAGAATCTGCCCCCTACCTCATTGAGGACCTGGGCCTGGTCTGTAGGCAGCAAATCCTGTTTCACCACGGCCTGAGCGTCCAAAGCACCAGTTGCTTTCCTCAGATCTTCCGTGGCATCCTTACTCACTGGAGATACCATCTGTGGCCTCTCAGAGGAAGAGAGCATGTCAATTCAAGGGCTCTTTGAAAAGACACAATTGTCCTAGAGAACTCTGAAATAAAACAACATTCGAAACACCCCAACCCCACCTGCCCCTGGCATTTCGGTCTACTGTCACTTTAGCTGACCACTGCTCAGGGCCGAAATGGTCCACGGTAAGGTGTTGAGGCTGAATTGGTCCACAGTAAAGTGTTAGCAGTGTGAAAACAAAGACTAACAAAGCCAGGTCAAAGGCTAGGAGAAACATGTTGAACACATAGCTCAGTCATCTGAGATGGGACTGCCAGTCTAGTTTGCTTTGTCATTGTCGTTTATTTATTTATTTTAGTTGACAAAGTGCAGGATATATTTATCGTATATAATGTGTTTTTGATGTATGTATACATTGTCAAATGATTAAATTGAGCTAATTAACATATTCATCCCCTCACATACTCTTTTTTTGTGGCGAGAACATTTAAAATCCACTGTCTTAGCAATTTTTAAGTATACATTATTATTAACTCTAGTCACCATGCTGTACAAAGATCTCCAGAACCTGTTCCTCCTGACACCTTAGACCACTTGACCAACATCTCCCCAGCCCACCCACAGGCCCCAACCCCTATTAACCACCATCTGCCCTCTGCTTCTGTGAGTTCTAATGTTATTCCTCACTCTGAGACCCACAGAATCTTAACCGAAGAATTGTTAGAGGCCAGGCACAGTGGCTCACACCTATAATCCCAGCACTTTAGGAAGCCAAGGCAGGCAGATCACCTGAGGTCAGGAGTTTGAGACCAGCCTGACCAACATGGAGAAAACCCATCTCTACTAAAAATACAAATAATAGCCGGGCATGGTAGCATACGCCTGTAGTCCCAGCTACTCAGGAGGCTGAGACAGAAGAATCGCTTGAACCCAGGAGGTGGAGGTTGTGGTGAGCCAAGATCATGCCATTGCACTCCAGCCTGGTCAACAAGAGCAAAACTCCCTCACCAAAAAAAAAAAAAAAAAAAAAAAAAAAAAAAAAATTGTTAGAATCTGAGTTCAGTGGGCCGAGCATGGTGGCTCACACCTATAATCTCAGCACTTTGGGAGGCCAAGGGGGGTGGTTCACCTGAGGTCAGGAGTTCAAGACCAGCCTGGCCAACATGGTGAAACCCTGTCTTAAAAAAAAAAAATGAATCTGAGTTCAGTTCTACATCAAAGGCACTGGCTAGAAGCAAAAGGAGGAGCCCTGCCTAAGGGAGACTGAGCACCAAAACGAAGCAAGTACAAACTGATTATCAAGGCAACTCTCTCCGCAGTTATCCCTGAAGCAGAGTCTTTCAGCAGTTCCATTTCATACTCTGTCCCCGTTCAGTGCCAGGGGTCATCACTTTCTCTCCTTTTTTAAGCACATTAATCAACAATCCCAATGACTTCAAACACAGCTAGGTGAATAGTTGATTTTAAAGAGGCAAGGGAATGGTTTGTGCTCTCTGCCATTTCCCCTGGCTTCAGAGAAACTAGAATATTAATGACAGGGCTGCAGCAAAATAACCCAGGCCTTCTGGAAATCACCAAATCCCTTTGGTGACACGGATTTTTTTGGAATGGCAGTTATCAAAGTATGGTCTGGGAATCCTTGGGGTCCTCAGGACCCTTCAGAAGTCTGTGAAGTTCAAACTGTCTCATAATAATAATACTAAAATGTTATTTCCCTTTTTTCTTTCTCGTTTTCTCAAAAGTGTACAGTGGAATTTCCCAGAGATTATTTGACATGTGATATTGCAATGGAATGAACTCAGAAGCAGAGAGGAGAATCCAGCTATCTTTTATTAAGCCAAACATTAAAGAGATGTACAGTGTCTCTCTTTGTACTACATTCTTTGCTTTGAAAATTAGTTGTTTTTAAGTAAAAACCTGTTTTTTATACAGCATGTAATGATTTATTATTTTTAAATGAATAATCATATTCTAATTTTTCAGTTTTAGTTTCTAATACAGTAAATATTGATAGATATAACCCACACCAACAAAAGGTCCTTGGGTCTTCAATAATTTTTAAGAGCATAAATGTCTGAGAATCCCTGCAGGAGGGCATCATTTCCTTGGAGAGGCTGAGTAAATGACAGGAAAATGGTACTATACACCTCATGGGGGAAACAGAAGGAGGCTTTATTTTAGAGTTTATCAGTTTGTTTCTTTCCTCTTTAAACATAAACAAGAAAAATCAATCCTATTTTATAAGTTACCTCTTCTGATAAAACAGAACCATCTTTTAGAATATCTAAAATTATTCCAACCTATCTCAGGACAGATAAGAGGTGGTCACTCTGAGAATCAGAGCTGTGGGATTCTGCTGATCTTTATAGGTTCACTTGAGTAATTCAGTGCCAAGCTACAAATTGGCCTAGGCTGTGGGCCTATTTTAATGCTCTTCAGCCCAGAAATTATCATCCATTTCTGTTTCCTGATACTGTGTATCATCTGCCTCCTCTACTAGAAAGCAAACTTGGTGGCAGGCACTGGGGTCTCATTGCCTCTGTATGCACAGCGCCAGGAACCAAGCCTGCCACCTGGAACCCTAAGGCCCTCTGCACTCTGACCTCACCTCTCAGAATCCTCTCTCTGCTCTGGTCCCTCCAACCACAAAAGCTTCTTCAATCCTTGAGAGTCTTCACATACCCCAAGTACTCTCCCACTTGAGAGTTTTTACATTTGCTGTAGCCTCTACCTAGAATACTCTGCTAGGACATTAACTCTTCTTTAGTTAACTGAAGACTTCCTTCCGGTAGTTTTTCTGCTGCGATGTTTCCCAGAGGCCTGTATATAAAATGGCTACCCCTTCCTGGCCTTGTCACTGTTCCTGCCTTTACCATTTTACTTCACTGCCTCTATTAGTGCCTGACATGATATGGACTATATTTTGTTGATTGCAAGATGCACACTGGTTTTTAGATTTTAACACAACTGAAAGATAGGATGTCTTAAAAATTGATGATGTCTTAAAACTGCATGGGCCTGGAATGACATCAAGTCTTTCTGAAAGAGATTTGCATTTGCTTCTGCCAGTACTTAGGAATGCTACCAATCTGAGATGCCTTGAAATTAAGTTATCTAGGCTGGGCGCGGTGGCTTATACCTGTAATCCCAGCACTTTGGGAGGCCAAGGAGGGCGGATCAAGAGGTCAGGAGCCCGAGATCATCCTGGCCAACATGGCAAAACTGTGTCTCTACTAAAAACACACACACACACACACACACACACACACACACACACACAAAATCAGCTGGGCATGGTGGCATGTGCCTGTAGTCCCAGCTACTCGGGAGGCTAAGGCAGGAGAATTGCTTGAACCCGGGAGGCAGAGGTTGCAGTGAGCCAAGATCACACTACTGCACTTCAACCTGGCTGGCAACAGAGCAAGACTCTGTCTCAAAAAAAACAAAAGAAAGAAATTAAGTTATCTGTTTAGGGTCTTGTTTAGATCATGCTGGCAGAGTGAATTTAGACAAGACACTGGCTAATACCAACCTGTGGTTCCTGTTCTCAGGGGAGATAGTTTTTTCTCGCATGACACAGTGTCAAGTTGGAGACAATCAAGTTTCCTTGCTGTCCTTTTCTGGCAGGTGGGGGATGGATTTTTTTCTTTATCTTTTCATGAAGGTGCAGGCTTTTGGGGTCCCAGCTCCATATAGGGGGGGTCTAGTAGACAATCCATCTTAAGCATTTCTTCCTCTCTTGGTGATACGTACATAAAAGTACATCTTACAGTTGATGGCAACTTAAGAGTCTATGAAATACTATGTGTACTTGTTCTCTGTCTACTTCCTCCACTAGAACATAACCTCCCTGAGAGTGGGATGGACTATTTTGTGCATTTGTGGTACCTTTAGTACCAAGAACAGTATCAGGTACGTGGTAGGCTCCCAATAAACATCTGTTGAATAAACATTAGCCCCCAAATATTTGTTGAATAAAACAATGAATGAGTTAATTTTTGCCTGGGAATAAAACAGAAATTCTGGATCAGACTATCATTTATAATATTGGGAAGGTGAGACTACAACAGGTTATTTGAATCATTAGCCTGATTTTACTGTGTTGTGACATCTAAAATTTAGTTTCTTTGCCTTTGTGCATGCTACCTTGAAAAAACATGGTTCTGCTTATTAAAAAAATATTTTGGGCCTGGCGTGGTGGCTCATACCTGTAATCCCATCACCTTGGAAGTCAGGCAGATCACAGGGTCAGGAGATCAAGATCATCCTGGACAACATGGTGAAACCCTGTCTCTACTAAAAATACAAAAATTAGCTGGGCATGGTGGTGTACGCCTGTAGTGTCAGCTACTCCAGAAGCTGAGGCAAGGGAATCGCTTGAATCGGGGAGGCGGAGGTTGCAGTAAGCCAAGATCATGCCACTGCACTCCAGCCTGGTGACAGAGCAAGACTCTGTCTCAAAAAAATAAAAAAATAAACATATTTTAAGGCTGGGTATGGTGGTCATGCCTGTGGTCCTAGCTACAAGGCTGAGGTGGGAGGGTTCCACGAGTCCAGAAGCTTGAGGCTGCAGTGAGTTATGACTGCCCACCATGCTCCAGGCTGGGCAACAGAGCGAGACTCTGACTCAATAAATAAATAATAAAATTATGTTAAGCAGGATATGTGCCAGTCACATAAATTTAATATTCACATTAGCATTTTATGCTCTGGAAAATTAGAAAAGGGCATGTGGGGAAGGATGAATTTCAAATCATTCGATGCTGGTGATAAGCCATGTAAAGGAAAAGCCTTCACTTTAAGCTTCTGGTGTGTACTGACCTGGAGCAGGGAGGCCATCTCAAAGGGAGGGGAAATCCTGGCTGGCCAGCCAGCCTCACTAGAAAACATAGAAAGTTGTGCCGCTTCCATTTCCAATAGATACATAAGCATAAGCACTAAGCCTCAGGCATCACACTCACTGGATTCTTTTCTTCACTCAGTAGATGTTAGAAACAAAAGTGAAAAATTAAATCCCTGGACGCGGTGGCCCACACCTGTAATCCCAGCACTTTGGGAGGCTGAGGCAGGAAGATCACGAGGTCAGGAGTTCGAGACCAGCCGGACAAATATGGTGAAACCCCATCCCTACTAAAAAATACAAAAATTAGAAGGGTGTGATGACACGTGCCTGTAGTCCCAGCTACTAGGGCGGCTAAGCAGAAGACTCGTTTGAACCCGGGAGATGGAGCTTGCAGTGAGCCAAGATCACATCACTGCACTCCAGCCTGGGTGACAGAGTAAAACTCCGTTTCAAAAAAAAAAAAAAAGTTATTTTGTCTAAGGATGTTCTGTGTTTCTCATTTTAAAAGATTTATTGATCCTTAGAAGGACAAAACAGTTCTGTGTACTTTGGCAATGGACATCATAAATTTGCACAACTTAAAAAAACAAAGACACCTCTGTGCCAAAACCCGACACCAAAGATCCTTCAAATCAGCATATAAGAAAAGGGATGATGGCAAGAAGTTGGAAAGGAGTTCTCCTCAGAAGACTTGATGAAAACATGAATGGTCTCAATTAATCAATGCCTTGAGGAGACTGTGTCTTCTACAGGGTTATTATGACTATTAACTGACTAGCTCCAGGCATAGAACTGAACACTTTCTGGTTAAGAGAATAAGCAATAGAATTGAACAAACCTAAAGCTACGTGAACTTGGGCAAATTACTGAACTCACTGTTTCATTTGCTTCATCTTAAAAAAAAAAAAAAAGCAGCTATACTTGTTTCATGAGGGTTGTTATGAGAATTAAAACTTTATGAGATAATAAATACACCTAGTATAGTATTTGGCAAATAGAAATGTCTGACAAAAGTAACTATTTCGGCCAGGCACAGTGGCTAACACCTATGATCCTAGCACTTTTGTAGGCCAAGGTGGTCATATCACCTGAGGTCAGGAGTTGAAGTCCAGCCTGGCCAACATGGCAAAACCCCATCTCTATTAAAAATACAGAAATTAGCTGGGTGTGGTGCCAGGCACCTGTAATCCCAGCTACTCGGGAGACTGAGGCAGGAGAATCACTTGAACCCAGGAGGTGGAGGTTGCAGTTAGCCAAGATCGCCCACTACACTCCAGCCTGGTAGACACAGTGAGGCTCCGTCTCAAAAAAAGAGTAACTATTTCATTACCATTATTACAGAGGAACATTAAAAAAAACATGGCCGTTATAATCAACTATAATTATACTAATCGTACAAATTATTTCACAGGCAAAAGCAAGAGGAAAGAACTTTTTTTTTTTTTTTTTTTGAGACAGAGTCCCGCTCTATCACCAGGCTGGAATGCAGTGGCGTGATCCTGGCTCACTGCAACTTCCATTTTCCAGTTTCAAGTCATTCTCCTGCCTCAGCCTCCCGAGTAGCTGGGACTACAGGTGTGCACCACCACATCCGGCTAATTTTTTGTATTTTTAGTAGAGACGGGGTTTCACCATGTTGGCCAGGATGGTCTTGATCTCTTGACCTCATGATCCATCTGCCTCGGCCTCCCAAAGTGCTGGGATTACAGGCGTGAGCCACTGCGCCCGGCATGAGAAAAGAAATTCTAAATGGAACTCAAGAAGTAACAGATTTCTGAAATACCCTGACATGTGCCACCACCTCCACCCCATCAGTTCTGTATGGAGGCCACGGATTTACTGGACAACACTGTCTCATGAACTAATCAGCTGGACTACAATACTCAACACCTCAGGGTTTTTCCAAAATACAGAATTTCATTAGTTATTCTATTAGTGCTTCATGGTTTCTATTCTTTCCAGGGCTAGTACCCCTCTTCCTTTTCTGTTATATATTCTAATATCAATGATGGTGGTTGGGGCTGGGCATGGTGGCTCACACTTGTAATCCCATCACTTTGGGAGGCCGAGGTGGGCGGATCATGAGGTCAGGAGATCGAGACCATCCTGGCCAACATGGTAAAACCCCATCCCTACTAAAAATACAAAAATTAGCCAAGCGTGGTGGTACATGCCTGTAGGCCCAGTTACTCAGGAGGCCAACGCAGAAGAGTCACTTTAACCTGGGAGGCAGAGGTTGCAGTGAGCTGAGATCACACCACTGCACTCCAGCTTGGCAATAGAGCGAGACTCCATCTCAAAAAAAAAAAAAAAAAAAAAAAAAAACCACGATGGTGGTTGGATGAGAATGATAAGGAAATTAAGAAAGAAAACCTAAAGGCCATCATAATGGTTTAATCTGAAAATTATAGAATAAAAAAATTCCAATTGTTCTAGTGAGAGCACGTGTACGTGTGTATGCATTTTATGCGTAAAAACCAAACATGCATTCTCTGGCAAGTCCATTTGGAGTCTCCTTCAAATATTTTAACATTTGAACATGATCTTCAGGAGAAGATAAATGAGGACACTAGAAGATAAATGAGGACACTACACTAGACTATTTGTTATAGTTTATTCTCTGAGAGTAAAGGAAAAGTGTATAACCTGAAATAGATCTGACATTGCCCCTAAATACACTTGAGGGTTGATTAATGACAAAACTATTCATATTCTTTACTTTAACTTGTCTTCCCCCTTGAAGTCACTACCCAAATTTCTTTCACCAATTCCTCATCTCAAACAATAAAGCCTCTGAAAACGTTTTATCCCAAGTGGTTACCTGTGGGGTGAGGAACAGGGTTCTGGATCAGTGGCAGAAGCCAATGAAGAGGTATCCTTGCTGTTTTCTGTATCTTCATTCTCTAGAAAATCATAGACAGAAAGAATTCAATATCTGAGAGGGAACACAATCATAATTCTCTTGTACCTTAAAAAAAAAATCTGGCAATTTCAATCAAATTCTTCCCAAAAATATTCTGGTCTGAACTTTGTATGCTGGGAGGCCCAACACATAAATTATTCAAGTCATCACATCCAAGTATTCTCAGACAGTCATAACTCATTCATAAACAATGAGTCATTTCCAAAACAAGTCTCTAAAAAGTTAACCCTAATTTAAGAATCATATTTCTGCCAGGTGCAGTGGCTCACACCTATAATCCCAACATTTGGGAGGCCAAAGCAGGAGGATCGCTTGAGGCCAGGAGTTCAAGACCAGCCTGGGCAACAGAGCAAGATTCTATCTCTAAAAAAAATTAAGGCCAGGTGCGGTGGTTCATGCCTGTAATCCCAGCACTTTGGGAGGCTGAGATGAGTGGATCACCTGAGGTCAGGAGTTCGAGACCAGCCTGACCAACATGGTGAAACCCCATCTCTACTAAAAATACAAAATTAGCCAGGCATCAAGGTGCATACCTGTAATCCTAGCTACTTGGTAAGCCAAGGCAGAAGAATCACTTGAAACCAGGAGGTGGAGGTTGCAGTGAGCCGAGATCACACCATTGCACTCTAGTCTGGGCAACAAAAGTGAAACTCCATCTCAAAAAATATAATTAAAAAAAAAATAGGACTGGCGCAGTGGCTCATGCCTATAATCTCAGCACTTTGGGAGGCCAAGGCAGGTGGGTGGATCACTTGAGGTCAGAAGTTCGAGACCAGCCTGGCCAACATGGTGAAACCCCATCTTCACTTAACATACAAAAATTAGCCAGGCATGGTGGTAGGCACCTGTAATCCCAGCTACTCAGGAGGCTGCAGAATTGCTTGAACCTGGGAGGCAGAGGCTGATGTAAGCCAAGATTGTGCCACTGCACTCTAGCCGCTACTCAGGAGGCTGCAGAATTGCTCGAACCTGGGAGGCAGAGGTTGATGTAAGCCAAGATTGTGCCACTGCACTCTAGCCTAGGCAACAGAGTGAGACTTTGTGTCAATAAAAAATAATAATAATAAATTTTAAAATTTAAAAAGAAAAGGAAGGAAGGAAGGAAGGAATCATATTTCTCAGAAAGTAGATGGTCCAATAAGGCAGAACATAGAGGGTAGAGTGGGATGTAAGATAAACTGAATTTAATCTCAAAGTATAAAGTGTCACTTCTACATTCAGTGAGTTCAGGTCAATGTACCCAAGGTCAGGTAAAGGACTTCTGTAATTTCATTTATTTATTCAGTCACTCATTTACTAATGATTTATTGAATAACTAGGTGCCCTCAAGGAGTATATAGGTGAAATGCATAATGAAGGCCATGTTCTCAAGCTCACGACAAGCCTATGGCTGGCACTGTCACAGCCATTTTTGCAGGTGAGGAACCTAAAGCATAGGGACAGGATTCAAACCCAGGCAGTTGTGCTCTTAACCATCAGATGCTGCTTAGTTTTGTGGGTTATTCAGTTACTTTTTCCTTGAATACTCAGATAGCATATGGCTTAGTTCATTTAGACAGCCCCTCATTTAACTCCCTCTGTGTAAGACAGCAAGACACTCAAGACTGAAGTTTACTTCTCAATACAAAATGCAACTTAATGAAGTCAACTTCAAACATTGAAAGTTTCAGAGTTTGGAAGAAAAGTCAAAGTGAAAATAAAAGGCAAAATTCTTAATCCAAGCTTAATCTAGTCTCAGTTTTTATATGTGAACAAAATCTATTTTTCTTTTCCTTTTTTGGGGAGGGCGTGCGTGGGGGACAGGGTTTCCCACTATCACCCAGGCTGGAGTGCAGTGACACAATTATGACTCTTGGCAACCTCAGCCTTCTGGGTTCAAGCAATCCTCTCACCTCAGCCTCCTGAGTAGCTAGGACCACAGGCACACCCCACCAAGCCAGACTAATTTTTTTATTTTTTGTAGAGACGAGGGTCTCAATATGTTGCCCAGGCAGGCTGGTCTTGAATTCCTGGGCTCAAGTGATCCTCCCACCTCAGCCTCCCCAAGTGCTGAGATTACAGGTGTAAGCCATGGTGCCCACCCAGCCAAGATCTATTTTTCTTTTGGTCAATTCAGTCTCACAGGCAGAAAGAACTTAGAGCTCCTGCCACCCAATTTTTCTCCCAACAAAGAAACTGAGTCTAAGACATTGTTCCCTGGTCTCTGCCACTCTGTAAAGAGGCCCATTCACTGAGGGAAAATGCAAATAGAAAGTTCTCCCCATTGTTGACCTAAGTGAAATGTGCTTTCTCATAAATTCTCCTCTTTGATCACCAATCCCCACAGTATTCTTTCACATATTGACAGCTGGCTGTCACATTTCCACAAGTTCCTTCTCCTCAGGCTGGTCACTTTCACACCACATAACCTGTAACCATACTGGCCTCCTTCAGCTGCTTCACTTAGTTTGTTCCGTTTAAAGAAAGGAGCCAAAATGAACTTCTCCAGATGTGTTCCAATAGGTGCAGACTACACTGACAATAACTTCTTAAAGAGGACACAATATTTCTTGACATAATACCCTAACCAGGCACTAGATTTCTTAACTGCAAACTTACTCTGTTGGCCTAAATAAGTCAATCAAGATCTCCAGGGCTTATAAAAATAAACTTTTTCCAAGCCCACTCTCTCTTATGCTCTACTTTTAAAATAGACTTTTGGAAAATAATTGACTTTTTAACTTAAAACCGGGACTTTATATAACCTATTATTGATTTCAAATGAACTTTTTGAAATTACACTAATGCTTTGTTAATTGCAGAAAAAAATAAGTACAGATAACATTTTGCATCCACCCTTCCAGACTTTATATCCTTTAAATATTTTTAATATACAGATAATCCATTGTTCGCTGTAAAAAAAAAAATCAGTAAATACACATAAGCAAACAACAAACTAACCATAACCCTACTAACCAAAGATTACCACTGTTAACTCTGTTTTAAAAAGACACAAGATTCGCTGGGCATGGTGGCTCACTCCTGTAATCCCAGCACTTTGGGAGGCCAAGGTGAGTGGATCACCTGAGGTCAGGGGTTCAAGACCAGCCTGGCCAACATGGCAAAACCCTGTCCTACTAAAAAATACCAAAATTAGCTGGGCATGGTGGCGGGTACTGTAATCCCAGCTACTCGGGAGGCTGAGGCAGGAGAATCACTTGAACCTGGGAGGAAGAGGTTGCAGTGAGCCAAGACTGCACCACTGCACTCCAGCTTGGGCAACAGAGCAAGACTCCATCTCAAAAAAAAAAAAAAAAAAAAAAAAAAAAAACGCGAGGTCTATGTTGCCCAAGCTAGTCTCAACCTCTTGGGCTCAAGTGATCCTCCTACTTCCCTCTCCCAAAGTGCTGGGATTACAGCATGACACCAACTGGTAACATTTTCATGTATGTCCCTTGAAAAATATATTCATACATATACACATACAAATACATATGTATATATATTATGTGTGTATGTGTATTTCTGAAAGGACATGAACTAAACACTTTTTTTTTTTTTTTTTTTGAGACAGAACTTTGCTCTGTTGCCCAGGCTGGAGAGTAACGGCTCAATCTCAGCTCACTGCAACCTCCATTTCCCGGATTCAAGCGATTCTCCTGCCTCAGCCTCCCAAGTAGCTGAGATTACAGGTGTCCAGCACCACGCCCAGCTAACTTTTTGTATTTTTAATAGAGACAGGGTTTCAGCATGTTAGCCAGACTAGTCATGAACTCCTGACCTCGTGATCTGCCTGCCTCGGTCTCCCAAAGTGCTGGGATTATAGGTGTGAGCCACTGCACCTGGCCTTCTCCTTACCTTCTAATCTTCTGTTACTTGTTTTTGAAAACATAAGGAAATACATATACATATAGTTGTATGTTGCCCCCATCTTAGAAAAAAATACACATTCTTCTTCTGCAACTTTTTTTTTTTTGAGACAGGGTCTTGCAGTGTCACCCAGGCTGGAGTGCGGTAGTGTGATCACAGCTCACTGCACTCTCAACCTCCCAGGTTTAAGCGATTCTCCCACCTCAGCCTCCCGAGTAGCTGGAACCATGGTCCCACGCCACCGTACCCAACTAATTTTTTATATATTTTGTAGAGATAGGGTTTTGCCATGTAGCATAAGCTGTTCTCGAACTCCTGAGCTCAAGCAATATGCCCACCTCAGACTCCCAAAGTGCTAGGATTACAGGCGTGAGCCATTGCGCCTGGCTGCAACTTGTTTTATCACTTAACAACATAGCCTACAAGAGCTTTCAAGTTGGTGAATTTATTCACATTCCAGAACGGTGGCACAGCCTAACTCCATGCAGTCATAAGCTCCTGCACTCAGGGCCCTTCCAGGCCTCACCCTATGTACCTCTTCATGTGGCTGTTTATCCGTTATAATAAACCAGTCAACACAGGCAGAAATTCTCCAGATGTCTCCTAGTAATGTCCAAGTTTTTATCCCAGTGTCACAAAGAAATATCAATGAGGAAACAACATGACCTACCCAGGAAAACCTACAATGACCTGAAGACATTTACTCAGGAGCTGTGTTAAGTTTTCATAGCATCTCCTATCAAGTAAAAGTGAAGAGTGGCTTTCTACTTGATCAAAAAACAATTTAAAAAGAAATATTGGCAGGAAGCGGTGTCTCATGCCTGTAATCCCAGCACTTTTGGAGGCCGAGGTGGGCAGATCACGAGATCAGGACTTCAAGACCAGCCTGGCCAACATAGTGAAACCCTGTCTCTACTAAAAATACAAAAATTAGCTGGGTGTGATGGCATGCACCTGTAGTCCCACCTGCTCAGGATGTTGAGGCAGGAGAATCACTTGAACCCAGGAGGTGGAGGTTTCAGTGAGCTGAGATGGAGCCACTGCATTCTAGCCTGGGTTACAAAGCAAGACTCTGTCTCAAAAAAAAAAAAAAAAAGAAAGAAAGAAAGAAAGAAATATTAATGAATATCA